TTTTTAAAGATTTATTTATTCATGCATACAAGAACTGGGGTACAGGCCAGAGGTATGGGGGGTGAGAGAATTCACTAGAGACAGAGTGGGGAACAGAACAGGCAGACTGACTGAAATACACTGCTGAGGGGGCAGCGGGCTAGTCAGGAGAGGTCTGCTACGCCATGTGGGTAGCTACCTGGCCAGGGATTGAACTTGTGCTGCTGGCTGCGGATAGCTTCATAGGTTGCATATTAACCCCATGAGCCACCAAGGAGGCCCGTTATAAGGTATTAAAGAAGGATGAAAAAGAATATGCCTGTTGCCCCAGGATGAACACCATTGCAACGAAGACAGACCTACTTTAGCCATTTTAGGATATGTGGATTGGGTGGTAAAGAATAAATCTGAAAGAAATGTCTGTGGTCTCAACAAAATGTAATCTCTGTTATCTTGGAAGAAATGAATCCTACTGCTGAAAAAAGACATGTATTTTAATTGTGGGGGTTTCTAGCTTATTCCAGCAATAGTTCTGGACTCTTCCTTCTATTAAAAGCTACACATCCAGATGGAAGGGCTCCAGAGCAACAAGCCAATGGCATTCCTTACTACTCTTCTAGGTGGATCAATAATAGCTTGTCAGTAGGTACAATGAAAAAACAGATATGCTACAGATCAGTCCTTCAATATGATAAGGATGGGTAAAAGTCAGAAAGCATGCTCACAGTATGTGTTTTGGAGTTAGAGCTAGAATCTCTAATTACCACTCCATGTCAGAATGTGACAATTAAAATGTATCAAGGAAAACTCTTAATAATAAAGCTGTTTATAGACACAGAAGAACAAAAAAGAGTAAGAGAGAACTTGGATTGTACAGATAAGTTCTATTAATTACAGTAATTTACGTGAATTCCTTACCCCTTAATCACCATGTAGCACAAAAATGATTATGTGTGCTCTGAAATGTGTCAGATCCAGCTGTAAATGGCACTGAATAGTTCATATGTGCCAAGTTATGTAGTACAAGTGTCTGTATCACAAATCAGTGGGAAACAAAGGTGTTTTGAGATTGAAGAACTTAGTCACAGTTATCAGAAAGAAGAGTGATGGTGAGGGAGAAAATTTTAGTGACCTGAAAATAAAATGTGTTTTGGACACTCTTCTAACCTTGTATGGGGGTATCCCAGGGCCAGGCCAAAGCAGTTTCTCTGCAGTAATAGACAAATAGCTATGGGAAGGTATTGAGTAGAATACAATATACAAATGTTTGTGCCCGTTGTTGCATGTATCAAAAACTATGAGGTCAGAGGAAAACAACATGAGGCATTTGTAAAAATTTATAGGTAGTTACTTCTCTGGCATTGTATAGTGAACATTCACAGTGTACAAAGAGGAGAAATAATGGGAAGGTAGAATGAGATACCCATGTTCTATGAGAGGGACAAGTGTCCAGGGAAGCCCAGCTGGAGATGAGAAAGAGTGGCTTTTTTTTCTGGTAGAACTGCAAGAAACAGTATAGGTGAGAGACCAGAAATGATGATTGAGAACCAAGAAGAGTCCTGATCATGAAAAACTCCTATGTAATTTTAATCCACCAGAGACAGGTTATTTAAGAAAGTAAAAACACTCATGCAAGTATTTTTAAAGATTGTTTTACATATTGCATGATTCTTTTTTTTTTTTGGTACCAGAATTTAAGCTGTGTCTTAGTACAAGTCATCTTAATGTATAAAGCCTGCTAATTCTTGAGCATTGGCATCAGGAAACTGACAGCTAAGTTAATGTACACAATCTCATCATGTCATCATTATATGCCCAATAGCCACTAAGAGATATAGCACCTTCTTTATCTGGAACTTGATTATAGATTTCACTTTACCAAACTGACCACCATATTCTCATTGTGGGTCAGCAAAGAAGGGAAGAAGTCTACTCAGGACTGGGTCCAGGACTTGTGGAATCTGCTTGATTAGAGACTAAGAAGCAAAAAAGGTATCCTACTTCTTGGCCAGCTTCTTAACCAGTTTCTTTTCTTGTTGTGTTTCCTCAGTGCCTCAGTATTCATGTGGGCACCTTTGCTTTGTCACAGTGCTACTGGGGTGGACTTAGGCATGACCCGTGCTCAAGAAATGATTGTCCTTTTGAGGGTCATACCTCTTTAAGCTGATACTTAACTCTGCCATCTCCAAAAATTTGCTGTGTTTGCTCTGGTTCCCATGCATGACTTCCTGAAGTGCCTCCTAGAGGGTGTCATAGGGCTTTGCTGCTTATGCTGTTTAACCCTTAGTAACCAGGAATGATCGAATACATTTATATGAAGTTTTTAAAAAATGGAAGGAACTAATCCATGGGGTCAGGAGACAGTTTAGGAATGACTCTTGAAGGGAGGCACAGTTATTGGGAGTAACAGGAAACTTTTGGGAGGCTGGTATTGTTATATAGATGCTGCTTGTAAACACAAAGGTGGGGGCTCAATCCGTGAAAAAACTCACTGAGCTGCAGACTTACATATCCACTTATTTGAATATGTTATATTTCTTTCATTTTTCAAAATAAATCTTTTTTTTTTCAGATTGATTAATTTATACAAGAACTGGGGTACAGGCTGGCCAGAGGGGCGGGAGGGTGAGAGAATTCACCAGACAGAACAGGGAGCAGTACAGGCAGACGGACTAACGACACTGCTGAGGGGAGCAGTGGGTGAGGCAGGAGAGGTCTGCCGTGCCATGTGGGTATCTCCCTGGCTGTCTGGGAATTGAACCCGCACTGCAGAGGCTGCACACAGCTTCACAGTACAGCGCTCAACCCGTTGCGCCACTGGGGAGGCCCTTTTTCTTTTATTTTTCCCACAAATTCTGCTTCAGGTTCATTTGTATAAATAGCACAGGAAGACACCAGTGTCCTGCAAACAGCAACCTTGGGGCAACACCAGTCCTTTTGTTCTCAAATGGTTGACAGGGGTTCTCAATTCTGGAGTTTGGGGACCTTTGGCAGCCAACACATCTTTGGGAACTTGTGTTGTACCAGCATCCTTGGCCCAGGGTTAAGCACTGGACTTCAGCTGGGAGAACATGAGACCCTTGAAGATGCGGCCATGTGCACATTTCCCAAGCTTGGTTTGAGCGATGTCGGCAAGATGACTAAGCTTATGGCTGCTGCTCTTTGGGATATTAGCCCTGACTGCCTTGGGCTTTACAGGGGCCTTGATAGCCTCAGCATATGCACTCAAGTCCTTGGCATTGTTGGCCTGCATCTTTCTCAGGCCATTCTTGTGCCTCTTGGCAAAATGCATGTTTCTTAAGAACCCGGGGTTCACCCCGTAAGAGATTTATATCTTTGTGACTGAGGTTTCATGATGATATTTTTGTGCCACTTCTGGGATTGGTTGTGTGTGGTGTGGTTCTTGGACTTGACCGTGTCTGTACTGAAGCTCGCAGCTCCTGAGATGCCATGAGCCTCAAGAACGAAGTATTATAATGGAAAATTAAAAAACAAAAAAGATTACACTGGTTGAAGGATAGAGAATGGGATGAAGGAGATAGGCAACAGATGATGGGATGGAAGCTCACCTATGAAAACAGCAAGGAAGCCAGGTAATAGCAGATGAACTCAAGTACCAAGAAGGATTTGATAGCTGAATAGCTATGGAAAATGAAAAACTGAGGAGTCAAAAATGACCTGAAGCTGCAGACTTCACGACTGGATAGGCAGCTGTATTATGCCCTGATGAAAGACACGAAGGAGAAATGCTCCCTCCAGATCTTTATTTATAAAATGAGAAAATATGCCCAAGACAACCCTTAAGATCTTAAAAGACACCCGATGACTATAGAACAATAAGAAGTTGGACAGCTCAGAGACAATGAGCTACCCAAGAATCTAACTTGGCAGAAGACAGAGAAACATCAAAATATGTTTCTAACAAACAAACAAAACCAAACAAATAGGAAACAACAGTCAATACTTCATTAAGTATTCAAACTGTCCTTCAAAAATTGCTAAAGTATGGTAGAGTAAAGATAGCGAGAATACCAAAAAGAACCACGAAAATCAGGAGCTATCTTTGAAAATGACTGGCAAGTATGAATATGCAGGAACTCAAGCTATTGTACCAATCAGCTAAGGTATCTGTCTGGACTAACTGCAGGTGGCCTGTAAACATTTTTGTGCATGTGTCAGATGAGTAGGCACTCCAAATAGTAGTCTATGGTTTGAACTGAGTCATCTATCAGTCTGTTATAAACCATGCTCCACAGATTTAAACACGCAGGTACCTTGTACAAGAAGCTCAATGGTCTGGAATTCAAGACCATAAAACAACATCATTACCAATAGATCAAGAAGAGTGCAAGATAAAATGATTAGCTATATTCTAGTAACTACTGCTCAAAATGTGGTAACCTACAAGTTGGTAAATGATTTCTGAGGGTAAAATGGGGAAAGGGTGAAATTTTTTTTTTGAAAACTTCACACATTCATGCCTGAAATGCTTTAAAATGCTAAATTAACACAATGCAAGGAAAATAACATTTTCTTTTTTCTTAAGTATCCTGTGAAGCCAATACTATGTTATAAATAGAGAAAACCACCCCCAGAAAAGCTGGCAAATTCAATAAGAAAAAGTTATTTTAGATTCCCTCTCTCTCCTTTCAGTCTGTAGGCACAGGGCAAAGTATTACACAAGGAAACAGATTTTTATCTTAAAAATCACAAATATTTCCATTTGGTAGAAATGATTGAAATAACAGTCCTCTTTAAATTCTGCCTTCCATCACCGCAGTCTTCACAAGACTGAATGATACAATGAATGCATAAAAGGCAGCCACCCTTTAGGATTAGATCTAGTATTTCCACCATCCTCTTCCTGCCCTGGAATTCCTAACCTAGAAAAAGGCTTTCAAGCAAATAGTCATTTCCTATTAGGTGCAAGGCTCTTTATACTAAATGTTCCTAATAACCTAAAAACAATACGACTATTCATGGATTAAGAGAGCACTGGAAAAGGGCTGTCAGGGGCAAACCTTGGCTTTGGTTGCAGCTGAGGCAAGAGCAGCTGCTGCGGCTGTGGCTACATTTCCTTCAGAAATTTCATGTTCTACTTTCTTCTTCCCAATATCACTTTCTCTTTCTTTACAAGTATCAGTGAGTTCCTTGTTCTCTTCAGTCTCCTTTTCTTCTGAAAAATCAGAAAGCTTTATTAGCAGTGCACTCAGTCTCAATAAGCCATCTTACTTCTCACCTCCACCACATAACAAACTAAAATTGATGTTACAAAGAGATCTCAGTGCCTTTTTCCTCTTTTCAAGACTATTGCTGAACCATTCTATGCATTTAAGTCTGACTCTATTTTAGATGGATTTTCTGAATGGTACACTTTGTCTTCCCTTCATTTCTCTAAGCTCTGTGTATAGTTCCCTTGGATATAAAGGAAAATTCAGGGTAACTAAGCCCTTAAAGCAACATGTTTGTTCATCATTCAATGGAATGCTCTGACTGGGAAATCCTGAAGTCTGGAGGAAATCAGATGCTGAGGAATAGAGCACTTCCGCAGGCCTTTTGAGCCAAGCATGATGGGATATGCCAGCAACTGACATTTAAAATGAAACGGCAGGGGCCACCCTAGTGGTGCAAGCGGTTGAGAGCCACACTGTGAAGCTGGCTGCAGCCTCTGCAGTGCGGGTTTGATCCCGGCCGGCCGGTGAGAATCCCAAATGGCGAAGTAGACTTCTGTCTCGCCCACTGTTCCCCTCAGTGTATTTCGTCAGTCTGCCTGTTCTGTTCCCCACTCTGTCTCTGGTGAATCCTCTCACTCTCCCACACATCTGGCCTGTACCCCGGTTCTTGTATAAATAAATCTTTAAAAAAATAAAATAAAATAAAATGAAATAGCAGCTCTGTGTGGTAACTTTGATCAAAATGAACAAATCATGTCTGTATACCACTGAAAACAATGCAGTCACTATTATTAGCATGTTACCTACATGCAAAATAAAAACTCAAAGGCACACTTACTGTTATATTAAGAAACAAACCCCAAATAAATATTATTATACAATTAAACTGCTTACATTTCTCCAGTGCTTTTTATAATCTTTTTAAAATAAAACCTAAAGGTTTCCTTCAAATTACCTGATTTGGCATCCTCACTAACTTCACTATCTTGCTCCTTCTCACCATTTTTTTCATTTTCTCCTTCTTGTGTTTTATCACCTTCATCTGTCTCATTTTCTCCTTTGTTTTCTGCCTGCAAAGTGGTATAGGAAGAGGATAGTGAGAAACATTGGTTGTTTTACAAGTGATATTATCTTAGGTTAACAAAAGGTTCCAGTATTTTTAGCAATAAGTGAACTAGATTCAAAGGGCTTTGGAGAGAAAAGTTGGAAAAGAAATTTATAAATTCAGAGAAATAAATTTTACATTTGAGTGCTCACAAGATGATACATCCCTAAAGCATAGTCCTTGACCTCTTTGCTACAAAGTCAGGGTTACAATGTTCAAATAAATGTCAAAGGAATTAATTATATTATTTGTTGGTTAAACAAACACTTAAGTTATTAGTTGTCCAGAAGTACTATGAGCTTTTAAAGTCCGTATTTATCAACCAAGTATTAAGATGAGTTGCTCCAGAAATAAAAAGCTGACAAAGCCCTTTAATACAGCCATTAGGTTAATGATTTTTTTGAGAACTCAGTGATAGTGCTCTTGGGACTGAAAACTTCAATTCCTCTGGTCAGCATTTGATAGAATTTACTCATTTTGAAATTCCTATGAACTTGAGCAAATTATATAACATCATCTAAAATAAAGAGACTATCACTGAATTGATGAAGTTATTTAGGAATTAGATGAACTCTCCGATGCAAAGTACAAAGGATAGTATTTGGAACATCGTAAGACCCATAATTAAATCTACTATTCTCTTCCTCTCCTTAGCTATTTACAATTTAAAAATACCTTATGTAAGCAAGATCTTAAACCCCTACTTATATATGGGACATGACTTGCATATGATGACATCATAGCTTATCAAGTGTCTCTGATCATAAAGAAGCTGAAAAGTCCTTTCTGTCTAGTTTACCCTGAGTTTACAGCCTTTATAAATAGGTATTGGGTCTTATATACACTGAGCTCCTCCCTGCCCTCCACATATGGGCTTTAGTGTCTCCTTACTATCACCAGTTAGAATCCTGATTTTCATTCTCCATTTCAATCTTTATAGTTCCACATGCTCTTTAAAACCTACTTCTATGTCATCTTCTCATTAAGTCTTTTCTAAATATTTTTCTGTTGGCAGTAACTCTCCTACACAATCCTTCAGTATTTTATAATTCTCTTCTGGCACAAGTACAGAATCTATACCTTAAAATTAAGATTCCTAAGAACCACAACTTTTACATTCATATTCCTAATTGCAACTGAAAGGGGTACAAAAAGGAGGTTGGGAAGTACACAAATCTTCACTGAATAAATGAAACATTTTCTATATTATGCTTTGTGAGAACTATACCTTGAACCAGTATAATTCAAATAGCAGATAAAATCATTTATGGTTCCCTCAAAGGGCCTCAAAAAAATCAGAATAAAATCCAAACTATTATGCTATGGAAGGCCTGCACTTTGTGGTAACAGGAGAACAAAACCAGACAGAAATTCACCTTTTCAGGCTGATGACCATCAGTATCTGTTTCCATTTTTTCTTCGTCAGCTCCTTCTATAAGCAAAAGAATAAGAATAATATGGAAAAAAATTGAAAGTTATTATACAATTTTATTTTGAGTGCCTGAAACTACATAGTAATACGGATGAATTTCATATTCATGGGTTAACTTAAGAAGTATGACATAAAACAACACGTTTTTTGATTCTGTTAATGTTCAAAAATGGGAAAGTAATCTATGAACTCAGGAGAACAGTTAAATGCAGAATGGGGGGGCCTCCCTGGTGGCACAATGGGTTGAGATGCAACCTATGAAGCTATCTGCAGCCAATGCAGCACGAGTTTGATCCCTGGCCAGGGAGCTACCCACATGGCGCAGCAGACCTCTCCTGACTCTCCCACTGCTCTCCTCAGCAGTGTATTTCAGTCAGTCTGCCTGTTCTGTTCCCTACTCTGTCTCTGGTGAATCCTCTCACCCCCTACACCTCTGGCCTGTACCCCAGTTCTTGTATGTATAAATAAATAAATCCTAAAAAAAAAAATAAATGGAGAAGGGGTATGTAGGCAGAAAGGGAGGGTTGCTTGCGGTGATGATAATGACCTGCTTCTTGAAATTGGGGCTGCTTACATGAATGTATTTAATTTGTGAAAATGCACGGAACTGAGCGAGGGTTTTCACTTTTCTGTATGTACAAAAATTAAAAGTACAAAAAGCAAAAACTTATAAATTACTTATTATTTGACAACAAATAAATATTTTGTGTCAGTACCAGAGAAACAATGCTGTGCTAAATATTCACTGAACATTAGAGAAGAACCATATTCTGCTTGGAAAGGACACTAAATATTAAGTCCACCATACACACACGTAAGAGATGCTATGGGAAATCAGGGCAGGATAAATGGTTGCACTAACATTTCCTAGACAGACATGGCTCTGTGTGTGTGTGTGTGTGTGTGTGTGCAAACACGTAAAAAGGGAGAGGGAAAGGACAGCTGTAGTACATATTTAGAAAAGGACATTTCAAGGAAAAAAAGCCAAGAGTGCAGGGGAAATATAAAGTAAGAATAAACCTGATTCACAAATCAGGACAACAGATAAGGAATATGAGAGACCACTAAGCTAAATCTCATTCATAATCATAAACGAAAAATTCCTAAGCAAAGTATCTGAAAATAGAATACAGCAGTAAATAAAAAAGGCAGTATGTTATGATAATATGACAGAATTGATGGATAATTTAAGATTAGTTAAGCCCAAAAGCTTATCTGATCCCATGCATGTGAAGTGTCTGACAAAATTAAATACATGACAAGCTCTAGAAAACCAAGGCTACAAGGAAACTTCCTGAGCTCCTGAAAGATCGCTATCAAAAATTCTACAGTGCTCCTTCTTCAGGGAGAGATTCCTAAAGTACTCCCTTCTGAAGTCAAGAGCAAACAGTATTGCCAAATTGCTAACTAGGTCAGTATTGCTAAAGAGATCAGAGCCAATACAGTCAAGTAAGAAAAAGAGGACTAGAAAGGAAAAAAGAGTTATGATTTCTAAGAAAATAAAAATGTATACCCAGAAGAATCTGCAGAAACATTACCAAATATAATCACAGGGTTTTAACAAGACAGCTGTAAAATTAAGATACAAAAAATGTATTTTGATAAGTTAACAAAAATCAACCCTAAACACATATGAAAAGATAAAGCCTGAATATCTTAAACACAACACAAAAAGGGTTAACCACAAAACAAGCTTTCATAAAGCAACAAAATGGGGGGGGAGAACACAAGCCGCACAGTAACTAGATTAGTATATCAGACTTAACACTATAGAAAAGTGAGCAATGACATACAAACAATAAATGATATTCAAATTAGTTGTCAGAGAAAATCAAATTGACAGCCACAACGTAAATTGTCATTTCACACCTGCTACATGAGAGAATCTAACACTAGGAAATAATGGATCAAATGTTACAGGTTTAGGACCTCCCTGGTAGCGCAAGGGGTTAAGACACAGCTTCTGAAGCTGTGCAGAGCCTCTGCAGCACGAGTTGGATCCCCGGCTGGCCAGGGAGCAATCCACATGGCGTGGCAGACCTCTTCTGGCTCGCCCGCTACCCCCCTCCAGCAGTGTACTTCGGTTGATCTGCCTGTTCTGTTCCCCACTCTGTATCTGGTGAATCCTCTCATCCCCCACACCTCTAGCCTGTACCCCAGCTCTTGTATGTATAAATAAATCTTAAAAAAAAAACATACGACAATGTTATAGGTTTAAATGTCAACTGGTATATATACTTTGGGAGAAAAACTGGAAAAAGGACCATTCCACAATAAAGAGTTAAGCAAGAATGTTCAAGTTGAATGTTAAAAAATGTTCAATAATCTTCTTTATCAAGACATTCAACTAAGGAAAAAGTTACAACTGAATTCAACAGTAGAGCTAGGGATGCAAACTCCTTATTTTGATGTGGTATGTCCACCTACCACACTTCAAAGTAAATGTGCCTATGAAATGTCTGAAATAGGAAAACAAAACAATCATACACACACAATCATGCACACACAAAACCACTTCCTCCTCACCCCAACCACAGGTACAAAGCTAACAAAGGAGGTAAAGGACCTATTCAAAGAAAATTATAAGACACTGTTTAAAAAAAACAACAGAAGAGGGCCTTTCCGGTGCCACAGCGGGTTGAGCACTGCGCTGTGAAGTTGTCTGCAGCCTCTGCAGCGTGGGATTGATTCCCGGCTGGCCAGGGAGACACTCACATGGCCTGGCAGACCTCTCCTGCCTAGCCCGCTGCTCCCCTCAGCAGTGTCTTCGGTCCATCTGCCTGTTCTGCTCCCTGCTTTGTCTCTGGTGAATTCTCTCATCCTCCCACGCCTCAGACCTGTACCCCAGTTCTTGTATGCATAAATATCATTAAAAAAAATCTTTAAAAAATAATAAAAAAATAAAAAACACAAACAAATGGAAAGAAATGCAAGATTTCAAGAGGAAATAAAAAACTTCAGGTGGCACAGGGGTTAAACACAGTGCTATCAAGCTACCGCCAGCCACTGCAGCACAAGCTCGGTCCCCAGCCGGCCAGGGAGCAACCCACATGGCACAGCAGATCTCTCCTGACTCACCTGCTGCTCCCCTCAGCAGTGTATTTCAGTACATCTGCCTGCTCCCCACTCTCTGGTGAATCCTCTCATCCCCCATACCTCTGGCTTATGCTCCAGTTCTTGTATGCATAAATAAATACATCTTAAAAAAAAAGTCTCAGAATACACCATTTTTCATAAAGTTAAAAACAAAATATTAGCTAACATATTGCTAATGTATATCTTTGTGATAAAAATCAATTAAAAAGGGAGTGAAATATTCAAAGTTTAGGATTCTTGGTGCTGGATGTCAGAAGGTGAGAAGATAACGAAAAGGCAGAACAGAGATGGAAATTATTGGTAATGTTGTAATTTTTAGTTAAGATAAAATATGCAAGATGCAATAAGACACATTAAAGTAAAACAACAGACCTGAATAAAAAAAGCCAAATGTAGATGAGGTTTTAAAACCCCCAAAACTTCACAAGTTATTCTTTAATTCAATGTTCAATAGACCGTTGCTGAGTCAGCTTAATTACAGCCCAACTAAGTACTATGTGGAATAAAGGCATTTTTTAAAAAAATAAATATCTGCTTTTATTTTTTTAACTTTTAATTTTATATTTTTTAAAAAATAAATATCTGCTGTTGAAATGACTACACACAGTCTACAGCTCTATATGCCAATAAGATTACACACCTCTACTGTAAGGCAAATCAAATTTGATATTAATTCTTAAATTAGCTATGATTCCAAGATAAACAGTTATATAATGCTAATATCAGTTTATCTAAAGATGAATGGTGTAGTTCAAGACAAACCCTCTCCTCTGTAAGGAACAAATCTGGAGACATGTGGTGAGAATTTTAGGACATTAACTAAGAGTTTTAACTTATCAATTAATTATGAGTTAGTTGTTCCTCAATATGCTATATGGAAGAGTACGTGAAGCAGTGTGTATTTTTTTTTTTTTTAAAGATTTATTTATTTATACAAGCACTGGGGTACGGGCCAGAGGCCTAGGAGGGTGAGAGAATTCACCAGAGACAGAGCAGGGAGCAGAAAAGGCAGAAGGACCCAAGTACACTGCTGAGGGGAGCAGCGTGTGAGACAGGAGAGGTTTGCCCCGCCATGTGGGACTCTCCTTGGCTGGCCGGGAATCGAACCAGCGCTGCAGAGGCCACGGACAGCTTCACAGCGCTGCGCTCAACCCGCTGCACCACTGGGGAGGCCTGAAGCAGTATATTCTATAAACCATTTATTAAAGTTGTTTTTAGACATCTTCCTGGAAAAAGAAAAAAAAAGTTTCTGGTTGGAATTGTACCCCCATGAGGTTGTAGTCCTTCACATATCCTGTGTCCTTTTGTTGGTGTTGATAAACTAGAAGGCTGACAATCCATATCTGCCACCTGACCCAAGTCTGCGAGTTAAATTAAGATATTACAATGAATAAAAACTGAACCTCCAACTTAAACAACATAAATTAGTGGGTCATTTGCCAAAGACAGAAAGGAACATCCTATGATCAGGTAACACAGTTATAAAAGAGGAAGTCAAATCAGTCAGAGGAAAATACCAACATGATAGTTGTCAGGTAGTCATAGTTCTAACTTCTCAACATCATTGCCACAAAGGCACAAAATCAGTCATGAAAAAAGCCTGAAAATGAATGTGAGTATTCCAAAAAACTTTACAGAAACTGAAATTTGGGTGTCCTATAATTTTTACATGTCACAAAATATTCATCTTTTGATTATCTTCCATAACATTTAAAAAATATAAATTCCATTCTTATGTTTATTGTAGGCTAAGTAAAAATAGCTGATATTCTTGTTTTGATCCAAGAAATAAATCTGTTAGTCCCTGCCAGAAAAACAGGGTAGATTGTGGATCTAATCTGACCAGGTTTGAATTCTGTCCCTACAACTTACTATATTAGCTCAAGTGACCTTATACAAACTATTTGGCTGACAGGGTCTCCACACGCTTACGTACAAAAAGAAATAATAGTATCCTTTGCATAAGTTTAGTACAAACGATTATGCGAATTACTTTATATAAAGTGCTAACAACTGTCTGGCTCACAGCCAGTGTTCAATGACAATAAATAATACTAGAAAAATAAGTTGGCTAGACCCAGGGACTGTATCATTTTTTAAAAAAGATTTATTTATGCATATAAGAGCTGGGGAGCAGGCCAGAGATGCAGGGAGTGAGAGGATTCATCAGAGACAGAGTGGGAAGCAGAACAGGCAGATGTACTGAAATACACTGCAGAGGGGAGCAGTGGGTGAGGGAGCAGTGGGCGAGACAGAAGAGGTCTGCTGTGCCATGTGGGTTAGCTCCCTGGCTGGGGATCTGCTACAATGGCTGCTGGTGCAGTGGCTGCTGACAGCTTCATAATGCTGAGACTTAAACCCCTTGTGCCACTAGGAAGGTCCTCTTTATTTATTTATTTATTTATTTATTTATTTATACATACATACATACATACATACATACATACATACATACATACATACATACATACATACGAGCACTATACGAGCACTGGGTACAGTCAGAAGTGCGGGAGGGCGAAAGAATTCACCAGAGCCAGAGCGGGGAACAGAACAGGCAGACTGATGAAATACACTGCTGAGGGGAGCAGCAGGCGCAGCAGCAGAGGTCTGCATGCCATGTGGGACCCTTGCCAGCAGCCGGGATTGAACCGGCATTGCAGAGGCTGCGGGCAGCTTCGCAGCCCAGCACTCAACCGCTGCGCCACCAGGGGAGGCCCTAATAAAGTTTTTAAATAAAAACTTTTGTGATATAGCAATATATATGTATATCTCTCTCCAATAATCAAATATATAACTTAAACCATTTGAAATATAAATCAACTTAACAACTCCTAGCTGGGGTGTCTATTCTCAACCTAAGAGTTAAAATGAAACTTTAAAATTATAGATCACTCTAACACTCTTCTGCTCAAACCCCTCCATTGGCTCCACCCGACTTAAACATTAAAAATTTACAAGGGGCCTCACCATCTCCCAATACCTCCTCTACCCAGCCGTCAACTACCTGTCTAGGATCCCCCATGATGTTCATCAGCCATGTCAGCTTGTACACTGTCAGTCTTGTATACTGCTGTTCCCTTGTCTAATTTACAACTTTGCTCAAATATCACTTTCTTGGTGAGACATTCTCTATACATTAAAAACTGCAATTCCCCACATTTGACTGTTATCCAACCCCTTCAACCTGTTTTCTGCCTTACCACTGATTAGCCAACATACTCTCTCTACATTTTAAAATTTAACTTATATATTTTAAAACTTTACATATTATATTTCTGTCCATCTTTTGCTTCAAAAGTAAAGTTCATGAGGCAGGGATTTTGGTCTGCTGTGTTCACCAGCAACCAAGAACCTTGAACACAACGAAATAACATGATAGCAAAACAAACATAGTTGTACTTATCCTGTAAATTAAAAGGAAGGGGGAAAAAAAAGTCTAGCTTAAGTCTGACTTCACATCCAAGAATGTTAAGTGATATAGTCTAGTACACTGAATCACACTGAATTGCGCTCTATGTTTCGTAGCACTTAATCTCAGTTACAGAACAATCAGCTACAGCCACTCTTCCTGTATGCCACAGGTCTATGGTTAGCGTGCTAGTTTTGTCTTTTTACTGACCCTTTGTTCAGTTCCCTAATGGAAACCATCCAGTATTTCTCTTTTTCCTTCTGATTTATTTCACCTAGTATAATCCCTCCAGCTCCATCCATGTTGCTGCAAATGGCCTGAGTTTATCTTTTTTGATCTGAGCAGTATTCCATTGTGTATATACACCACATCATCTTGGTGATACATTTTGGGGCATTTAAGTTGTTCCCATATCTTAGCTATTGTAAATAGTGCTGCAGTAAACATAGGAGTGCAAGTTTCTTTTTGAATTAGTTTTTTGTCCTTTGGGTAGATTTCCTAAGACTAGGATCAATGGATCATGTGGTAGGTTTATTTTTAGTGAGGAACTTCCACACAGTAAAAGCTGGTTTTTTTTGGTTTGTTTGTTTAATTTTTCTATATTCCTCCTCATTTCTGTAAGGTTGGTAGTAATGGTACTAAATGACTAAATTTAGCAATTAGTTGGTCCATTTTCTGTTCTTTATTAATCTAGATAAAGACTTGTGGGTTTTTGTTTGTTTGTTTTAGATTTATTTATTTTTGCATACAAGAACTGGGGTGTAGGCCAGAGGTGTGAGAGGATTCACCAGAGACAGGGTGGGGAGCAGAACAGGTAGATCTACTGAAATACAATAAGGGAAGCAGCCGGTGAGACAGAAGAGGTCTGCTGTGCCATATATGGGCCAGCTCCCTGGCTGAAGAACGGATAAGTAAAATGTGGTATATCCACTCAAAGGAATACTATTCAGCAAAGAAAGGGATAAAGCACTACTTCATACTACAACATGGATGAATTTTAAAAACATGAAGCTCAGTGAAAGGAGTCAAATGCAAAAATCTACATATTGATTCAAATTTTAGAAATGTTCAGAACAGGAAAATCCAGAGAAAGAAAACAGGTTACTACTTACCAAGGCTGAGGAGAGAAATAAATAGGGAGCCATTGTTTAACTGGTATGGGATTTTCTTTTGGGATGGTGGAAATGTACTGAAATTAAGTGATAGTACATGCATAGCACTATGTATGTACTAGACTGTCACAGGGTTATATACCTTTAAAGGTTAAAATTGAGAGTTTCATATTATATGATTTTTATTCTCAATTAAAAAATAACCAAAAGCAACAATGAATTTACATCTACTCACCAAGATTTATATTAAAATAACTACAAAAGCCCTTTCCGTATTCTCATATCTATCTGCTAAAACCCTAGATCTAAAAGCAGGCTTCAAATATTTCATAACTGTGATATCTTAAAACAATTTTTATATTCTGGCTATCATAAAAAAATAAGAAAAAATATTCCATGGTGTATATGTACCATATCTTCTTGATCCAGTCATCTATTTTTGGGCATTTGGGCTGTTTCCAAAGCTTAGCTATTGTAAACAGTGCTGCTATAAACATAGGGGTGCAGGTGTTCTTTGGAATTGATGTTTCTGTGTCCTTTGGGTAAATACCTAGGAGTGCAATTGCTGGATCATATGGAAGCTCTATGTTTAGTAGGTCCAGAAATCTCCACACAGCTCTCCACAGTGGTTGGACCAGTTTACACTCCCACCAGCAGTGCAGGAGAGTTCCTTTTTCTCCACACCCTCGCCGACATTTGTTGTTGCTAGTTTTTTTAATATGTGCCATTCTCACTGGTGTAAGATGGTATCTCATGGTAGTTTTGATTTACATTTCCCTGATTACAAGTGATGTTGAACATTTTTTCATATGCCTGTTGGCCATTTGCATTTCCTCTTCAGAGAAGTTTCTTTTTAGCTCTTCTGCCCATTTTTTGACTGGATTATTTTCTTTGTTGTTACTCAGCATTCAAAAAAGATAAACACATGCAATTTGCAGCAACATGGATGGTGCTGGAAGGGATCATGCTCAGCAAAATAAGCCAGAAAGAAAAAGAAAAACACCGGATGGTCTCACTCATAGCAGGAATCTAGAAAACTTAAATAAGGGACCAGGAAAATGAATGACTATAAGAAAGTGAAAATCAAAATCAACAAAAAACTATGAACCGGAGACACTTTTTGGGGGTTGGGGGGCAGGAGGGGAGGGATTGGGGTCAGAATGGGGGGGTTGCAATTGTGTGGGGAATATAAAAATAAAATTATTTAAAAAAAATAAAATAAAGAGTAAAAAAAAAAAAAATTATATACTAATCTTAAAAGACAGGTCTATAACTGATCATTGTACTCTAAAGTACCAGAAAATCCAGTTACTTTAGCTAGGTCATACTTACTAAAAATACAAACATCTATTCGCTCTGTCCTTAGATGCAGCAGTGACTCACCAAGTTTCTCTGGTTCATCAGGTCCTGTGCCTGCAATGCAGCTACTCTCCAGACCATATGTGGGATCCACTTTCCCAGAGGCTCGTGCTGCTTCTTGTACTTTCTTGACATGAGCTTCAACCAATTCCAGTGGCACCTCCTCACGGACCCGTGAAAACTCCTCTGTTCACAAATAAAAATGGTATAGGGAACTGGTTTTACACAAGTACTTGTTTCAGTGTAAACCACCAGGAAATCCAACCTAGTACTAGTGTCTTGTGGACAGCGATGTGTTTGGGACCTGGGTCCTACTTTATCCCAACAAAATATCAAGGGCCAATTGAAAAAATATTGAAATTCTGTGTTGCTGTATTTTATCTTATACAACACAGCTTCTTGCTTATATAAATAAAAAGGATTACTACATACATTTCTATCAGGGACAATCAAAATTTTGTTCAAATTTTATATAACTTAGCTGGTCACACCGAAATCAAGAAGACAGGAAGGATTAAAAACCAGTCAATAAGAAGTTCTATGGCTTAAGAAAATTCTAATTCTTTTTTTTTAAAGATTTATTTATTTATTTATTTATTTATTTATTTGCACAAGCACTGGGTGCAGTCAGAAGCGCGGGAGGGTGAGAGATTTCACCAGAGCCAGAGCGGGGAGCAGAACAGGGAACAGGCAGAAGGACCAAGGTACACTGCTGAGGGGAGCAGCAGGCGAGACAGGAGAGGTCTGTCGCACCATGTGGGAGCCTCGCCGGCGGCCGGGGATCGAACTGGCACTGCAGAGGCCGCAGGCAGCTTTGCAGCCCAGCACTCAACCACTGCACTACCAGGGGAGGCCCGAAAATTCTAATTTTTAAGAAAGTAAAAGGACTCCCTTTGCCAGTTAGACCAGTCTAAATGAATGCCAAAATACAGCATTAAAAAAGTGTTTTGTCCCTTCAATTCTTAATAAAGGTTCTTAGGTATTAAAGTATTACATTTTAAGTGCCCTAGCTTAAAATATTGTAATACTCTTAAATATAACAATATTTAAAGGTAGCACATAAAGTTATTAAATATAAATTGCAACTTTAAGAAGTATATCTGATTTGTTATATATCTGAAATGAATGTAACAGCTGACAACACTTAAATATGAGATAATATTAACATGAAGGAAAGTATTAAGCCTTATCTGAAATTGTGCTAGGAAGATGACCATACCCAGAGCTGCTTTTGCTGCAGCAGATGCCACACGAGGGTCTACAACAGATGCCAAAAAAGCAACAGTGCTCATGACTGGGTTTCCTGACTGACTGAAGGGGACAGGTTGGTAAGCCAGGGGTCCAAGGGAAGCATCTGAATTCTCAAGATATGGGTCCTCAATGGGAAGCCTCAAGAAGTGGAGGATGCATTCGTCTTGGGTACGACTTCCAACATGTTCTGACACTTTGTTCCAATCATCTTTGTACATCTCCAGGGCCTAAAGTAGAAAAAAACAGGAGCTTTAATATCAAGATACTAGGTAATACTATATAACAACATCAGAAGTCTGTGACTGTTGGTTAGATGATTTAAAAAAATAATAAAATGGTTATCGTGTATGTAAGAAAATAAGTAGATTTGATTGTTTTCCCTCTATCAATTGGGGGCAGACCCAAGTGCTGCAGAAGTTTCAGAATCTCTCTGACTTTGGAAACAGAAAATGAAGCAGAACATAAACGATCAGGGAAAAAATGAGAGAGAAAATAGAAGAGACATGGGAAATTCAGTAGCCCTGTAAATAGAACCAGCTCCCCAAAGTGCGTATCTTTCTAAGAGGCCAAAGGAAGAGTATATCCAATTTCTTCAAGGAATTCAGAAAAGACCTACAACATGTTCCTGCAGTGACTCCACTGTTTTCACTTCAGGACCAGAAGATCCTAGTGCTGTGGTATCTTCCCTTTCCCAGAAGAATAATAGGGGAGATATCAGTAGAATTGAAAAGCAGAAAGAAAGAAAACAGAAGTCAGATAAAAGACAAGAACACAAACATCAAAACTAGTATTTCTGAGAAAGATGTGGCTATACCAGAATTTAGAAAAGGCTTGTATGGAATCATAGGTTATGGAAAAGGAAAGGGAAGAACCTTGGAACTGGAACAAACCATTATGCTTGGTACTAAGTCTCCTAAAAATAGTTATGAGTCAAGTGCACTAAGAGGCAAAACTAAGGAAAAAAGGCAGCAAAGGCAAAGAAAAGAGAATGACCTATGATACAGGTATTTTCAAGAAAAAGAAGAAAAAAGTCCATGAAAACAGTAACTTTTTCTCACTTTAAAAGTACTAAATCCAGAAAGAATAAGTCAACTCTCAGTATTTTGTCAAGTGGATGGATTAAACAGGTGGGAAAAATCAAATATAGGGACAGTGATTCTAAGTCAAATTGTTATCAAGAAAATAATGCTGGGGCCACCCTGGTGGTGCAAGGGGTTAAAGTCTCAGCACCATTAAGCTATCACCAGTCACTGAGGCATGAGTTCAATCCCTGGTCAGGGAGCTAACCCACATGGTGTAGCAGACCTCTCCTATCTTGCCTGCCACTCCCCTTAGCAGTGTATTTCAGTTGCTCTGCCTGTTCTGGTTCCCACTGTTTCTGGTGAATCCTCTCACCCCTCTCACCTCTGGCCTACACCCCAGTTCTTCTATGCATAAATAAATTAAAAGAAAGTTTTACAACTGTCTTCTGCTAATAAACATGATTGTTCACATATAGAATTCTAAGGAAGTCTTAGGTACTAAAACTAAAAAGTTTAGAAAGGTCAAGGGACAGAATGGTAATAGAAAAATTGAACTATCTACCTATATATAAAGCAAAGAAAAAATTTTAATTGGAAAAAAGCATGCAAAATACCACAAAGATGAAAAACTAAGAATAAATATAATAAAGATCAATTTGCTGGAAAAAGAAAGACATGAGGAAAATTAAATCTAAATAAGTGAAAAGATATACCATTTTCATTATAAATCTCAATTTATCAATTTTTATCTATTTTCTTCAAGATCAACTGCAGAGTCAAAGCAATCCTATTCAAACTCTAAGCTTTTTGTTAGAAATTTAAAAAATTAACAATATTAATATTTATAAAGTATATAAATACAGTTTCAAAATACGTAATTTTAATATGCTAAAATACTCCAAATAGAAAGAGTAAATGTTCTCTCCAAGGGAGAGGGGGATAGAATGGTATGGAAAAATAAAAAAGGCACAGAAATATATGTTGCTATGAAAGTTAAGAAGTTGAATAAAAAGAATCTTGGTCTGTAAGCACCAAAGTTGTTACTTTCACATAGTTCACTCTAGAGCAAAGATTCTCAACCATGTCTTCTGGGGGCCATCTGGCAATGTTTGGAGACATTTCTGGTTGATATAACTGGAGAGATAATATTGGCATCTAGTAGGTTAAGGCTACAGATGATGTCAAACATTCTACTACACACGAGCCCACACAACAACAAAAAAACCTACCTGGCCTAAATATCAGTAGCAACGTGGCTTAAAAACTGTGCTCTAGCATGATTTGCTGATTTACAATGTGAGCTTATCATAACAGTGGTTCTTTTCATGTTTTACTTGTCTCAGTGAATTCTTAACCCAGGGCCCCAACTGCTGTTCCAGGTTTTTCAAAAGAAAGTAAAGAACTTGCTGGAGAAGTGAAGGACTCTTTCAAAACCCAAGTCAACTAATGGTCTTATACCACAGACTTGAAAAATGAGACTAATTAGGGGTTTCCTCTGGATAGCGAGAGGACTCAGGTAGTTTTAGAATGAATCACTTAGAGAAACAAAAAAGACCTGGACTGCAACAACAACAAAAATCTACCGATCTCTCTAGGACCTTTGGGACCAAACAATTAACTGTGGCTAACAAAAATTTGTAATTATAGGTAGAGATTTTCAAGAAATACTTTATAATAACCTTTTCAAACAAACTTGTTATTAAGAATCCCCCCCGCCTCCACCCATTTACCTTGACAGAGAAAAATTAGTTCAGGAAGTATTTTTTCCTAGGATAAAGTTAAGGAACTATTTGACATATATATTTCAAGGAAGAGTCAACAATGAGAAAAGTCTAAGACAAATGGTGGTACGTAAGCCTGAGCAATGATGACAGCATTACGTAAGAGAGGCAGATTGAAGAGATGTTTTCAAAATAGACATGGTCACATAATGGTTGGAAAAATGAAGCAGAAGCAACATATAAAGAAAAATTAGATGTGGACCTTCATTCAGTATAAACACCTTCATTCCTTCTGCCATATCCCAGATCTTCATCATTACTTACCTAGACTCAAGGAATTACTTGTTTTTCTCATTCTTAAATTCAACCCTCTTCCTATTGTCAGAATGAAGTTATTTTTCCACAAAAAAACACTCTTTGCTGCCTACAACTATTTCACTGCTCATCATTCTTATAGAATTAAGGTCAACTATGATTGGAGCTCTGTTACTTCTTCGACCCTACTCTCTATTCTTCTACCCTACAACTCTGTTCCAGAGTTGATATGCCTACATAGTTTGTTTTGCATTAGAAATATCATGTGCTATGACAATCAGATGCCCAAGAAGTGGTCGGTTATATCTTATTCCATCTGGCCTATTTGAACATCCATTCCTCTGTATGTGTCTTATGCTCCCTGTGTACTTTCAATCTTGAAGATGAGGACAATGAATTCATTTTATAATTTAATCTATTTCTGTCACTCACTAGACTATGAATTCCTTAAATACAGAAACTATAGCCTAGTCCTCTCACTCTGCAGTATCTACCACAGTGTCTGAAACACATTATCTAAATAAATTTGCTCAGTTTTATCACAGAAAATTGGACTAAACCAGAAAGTAAGCTGATTTTCAACATGGCCCCAAAAGTAAAACATCCTATAAAAGAAAGTTTTCCTCAAAATGAAAAATTATTTTTTTTAACTGGAAGACATTTAAAGTATAATTCAAATTTAAACAGAAGAAAGTATTTTCTGGGTTGTATATCAAAGGACGGTATGTCAAGTCAGGCCAGAGTGTGAGAAAATCTTTGGTGTTGTTTACTTAGTATCTTCTCTTGCTTTTATAATTTAGCCAATATAAAATACGTGAAAAACTCATTTAGTGATATACACACATTAATAACCCTTTTTATTTGAATGTATAAAATTTCAGGTTCAATAATTATCTAAGGAAAAATAAGTACAATGCAAAGCAAGACTGAGAAAGACTAAAGTAAACAAGGGAGAATCAAGCTCACAAATTCAAATTTTGTCAATTTCAAGCATACAGACAATTATAAATGAACAGGAAGAATACTCTAATCACTTGTGGACTTAATAAGAAATTGTGAGGGCTTCCCTGGTGGCCTAGGGGTTAAGTCTTAGCACTTTCACCTCTATGGCCTGAGTTCAATCCCTGGCCAGGAAGCTGGTCCACATACGGAACAGACTCTTGTCTCATCTGTTGTTCCCCTTAGCAGTGTATTTCATTAGATCTGCCTGTTCTGCTCCCTACTCTGTCTCTGGTGGATCCTCTCACCCTGCACACATTTGGCCTATACCTTAGTTCTTCTGCACAAAAATTAAGAAAGAAATCTTTTTAAAAAGAAATTGTGAAATTTTCCTTTAAAAGTCGCTTTAGGGCCTCCCTGGTGGCGCAAAGGGTTAAGCACTACACTATGAAGGAATCTGCAGCCTCTGCAGCATGAGTTCAATCCCTGGCCAGCCAGGGAAAAACCCACATTGCGAAGCAGACCTCTCCTGTCTCACCCGCTGCTCCCTTCAGCATTGTATTTTAGTCAGTCTGCCTGTGTTCGGCTCCCCACTCTGTCTCTGGTGAATCCTCTCACTCCCCTGCATCTCTGGCCTGTACCCCAGCTCTTATATGCATAAATAAAATAAATCTTTAAAAAAAAAATTCATTTTAAGCTAGCAGCTCTCCTGCCCACCTGTAACTACGCATGTGCCTCTCTTTTTCTTTCTCCTTCTAATAAACCTGTCATTTTAACATGTAAGAAAATAAATAAGATAAAAAATAAAAATTCCACTAATCACTATACAATAGCATACTATCATTTTTCTACTTTCATTCTGGTACCCTGATACTTACAATGAAATGTGAAACTGCTATAAGGACTGAGTTAGCCTTTTTTGGCTTCTTAAACTGATGACATATTTTCAGGTCAAACATTTCAAATTCCTCACACATTTCACAAATGAAATCTTACTCAAACAAGCCTTCATGATCTTCACTGTATGCAACATTTTTCTTAAATGCTATTACCCTTCATGCATACCAATCAAAGATCTTTTTCAAACTGCATGCATTCATACAATGTTTAGATTCCACTTTGGCTATTTGCAAAATTGTACTTTAATAAGAGAACATGTCAATTTAAGTCTTTTAAAAATGAAAGTTGGGTGATCTGAAGAAAAATACAAAATATTTGAGATGTTGACTCGGGAAGGAAAAATAAGCCCTGATGAGTCAGATTTATATATTAATTTGAGAGAAACTGACTTTTTGGTTATAAAGTCATTAAGAATATTTCATCTGATACCAAGGGCTTAAGCTATTAATTACTGATAAATAAACGATATAAATACAAAGTGTTATTGGGAAACAAGGATGTTGGGAAGCCTTTTACTTCTCTTTGTTTAAGCGTAGGAAACACCTGTTGATTCAACTGTATGTTTAAAAGAAAAACTGACCACACAGGTTCCACCTGCAGGAGACAAAATGCACTATTGTGTAAAGGAACTATGGTTTTCTAGGATGTGTTGAGGGTCAACAGTGGTTGGGTCATTTTGACCTAACTCTGTATTTATTATCCACTTATCTTAAATGGAAAAAAGGAGAAATTTCTGAGTACCAATGTCCAGCAAGAAAAAGAACTGAGTCATGCTGTTGTTCTAGCTGGTGTTCCACAACTAAATTTCTCCCCATAGCCCAAAGATTCCAAAATAGTAGTTAAAAGACAGTATTATATTCCAAGTATTAAAAATATTTAAATTACTATCTGTGGCAGCTATGACTAGACAAAATACTTCTGAAATAAGTAAAAAGTGGTTCAGAAAAGCTCTCTGCATATTACTGATACTGAATCAGCAGAAGAGAATTAAAATGGTGGCAAATCAAGAGAAGAAATGATTTTCACTTTAAGGGGGGGGATAAAGAGACAGTAAGAGAGAAGAGAGAACAAGGAAAAGTCGAAGAGGGTGTAAAAAGAAAAGGAAATAGTTAATAAACTGAAAAAACTTAAGGTACCATTTTACTCCAGTGAAAGAGAGCTCTCTTTCTCCATAAATACACTGTTCTGATAGTTCAGTTACAGATAGATGCCGTTGTAAGTTACTAACAACAATCATCAGCTTCTTCCAGGCTGACTCCACTACTGAAATTAGAAAACCAGGTGTTTGTTTTCTTACAATGTGGTTATAAGACTGATCAATGAAGAGGGAAAGGTTGGTAAGTGGCTTCTGTGAAAGCTTTTCCTTTCAAGAGGAAAAGACCCCACAGGTCATTTTCCAACTCTATTCCTGTGTTTTGTGTTTTTTTTTTTTTTTTTTTTTTTAAAGATTTATTTATTTATTTATACAAGCACTGGGTATAGTCAGAAGCGCAGGAGGGTGAGAGAATTCACCAGAGACAGAATGGGGAACAGAACAGGCAGACTGACGAAATACACTGCTGAGGGGAGCGGCGGGCGAGACAGGAGAGGTCTGTCGTGCCATATGTGACCCTCGCCAGTGGCCGGGGATTGAACGGGCACTGCAGAGGCTGCGGGCAGCTTCGCAGCCCAGTGCTCAACCACTGTGCCACTAGGGGAGGCCCTCTATTCCTGTGTTTAATGGAATTATAAAGCCTAGAAACTAACCAGTCTTCCTCTGATCATAAAAAAACATGCAAAGAGAAAGAATGTGGAGACCTAAGTAGGTGGAAGAAAAACAAAAGCTAGGAATCAGATGATATAAATGAACAATGGAAAGAATCTTGTAATTTCCAATTTGAAAAAATCTAGTTAAAAATAAACCAATGTCCTTTTAATCTACTGCTAATCAGACATTCTGTTCCTTGCAGGTAAAAGCAGTCCTAACAGATTAATAAACTTCCTTATTTGGATCTTATTCAGCTCTCATAGACACATTCTCTCCACAAATACTTAGTAGTGTCAAATAGTCTATTTTACTCAAAATACTGTTCTATAACAAAGACAACTGGTCCTTCTTCAGAAACAACTGATAAATATAGAAGTCAGTATTTTCTACTTCTACCTTCAAAGTAAAAATAATTGTTCAACTAACCGGACAAGTATTTGCAAGAATCTACAAAGACATGAAGAAATCCAAGTAACCATTCAAAAAACTGAAAGAGATGGCACACATTATTTTTTCTGCTTTCATAAACAAAATAGTGTTTTTCTAATGATAGATTTCTTCAGTTACTTCTCAGGAATACTTTTGGGAAATAAGGAGTTTGCATAGTCGAGTGCACACAACACTAGGGACCTAGTCTATAATGACTGAAGTGGGCTAAGTAAAGAAAAACTGAAATATGAGAGATGACCTACTTTAAGGAAACATCTGCTACTCAAGGTCAGTCAATAACTATGTGGAAATTAGACTGCAGAACTCCCAGATCTTCCAATTTCCAAGGAAAAGTTAGAAACCTGTATCTCCTTGGCGAAACTCCAACATTTAAAGTTGGCAATAGATTTGAAAGAAACAAAAAAACAACCCGAGCAAAAACAGCATATATACAGGGCTTAATCTCCCCTATTGATCAGTGTGTCACTCTAATGTTATATCCACAACACTAGAAATTTTTATTAAAACTCATGACATAGAAAAAAAAATTTTCAGTATAAATTCCAAAGGTGTATTTAAAATGGTAGTCACAGAAACTTACCACCCAACTCATATGCAGATAGAGGGGCTGCACCATTAATTTGCTTACCTCCAAGAGAAGAAGGGTCTCCTGTTCAGTCCATTCTCTTCCAGCACTAGCACCTTTACTCTAAAGAAAACAAAATCAGAAATTATTCACTCAATCCTAAAGGCTGAATATGGAGTTCAGCAGGAGTGCTTCTAAATTCAGGAGTCTGATTTAATGCAACTCACCAAAGTCAGTGCCTAGATAACAAATAAAATTCTTCAAAATCTAAATGTCCAACACAAAGTCTGGATTATTTCAAAGATTTCTTGCTGTCAAGGACTCCTGGGCTATTTATGAATATAATTTCTATTATTCTGATAGTCAAAAATACCTTTTGAAGCTGAAAGTATTTTAATGCATACCATGAATCAGCAATAATATTATAAACATAATACAAATAATTTTGTATGACTTGAAGGCATTTACTTTCTACAAGAACGAAAGACAAACTGTACCACATATGAAACACTGGGGCAGATTCTTGATACTAAACGCAACATTCATATTATCTGATTTATATCATTTCGTGATTGAAATAAATTTCAAGTGATTCTCTAACCTCCAAACCATTGTTTCCAGGAGTATTCCTTAAAACTTACAATACCTGTAAGCATGGAGGTATAAAAAAACCAAGTTTTCATTACATAAAAATTTACCTATTCATATTTCTTCTTATAGACCCTGATCCTCATAAATTTGCAGGGAACTGGATGTATGCTATATCTGACATTATTCTTTTTCAGTAGATGTTACCAATATAAAATACATAACTTACATATTATGTCTCTTCTGAAAACTCTACTTTGGGAGATTACACTTAATAAATGAAGAGAAAAATTTCATAATCCAAGATTTCCTGTGTCAATAGTTTTTCAATTCACTTGACTCAACATTTTTACTAAATTGTGCAGGTAATCTATTTCATCATGACAAAACTTTTACATTTTGTTGTTCTTAAGGGACTTGTCAATTTCATGAGCGTGTGAAATATATTACCTTCAAATTGTTAATATATGCAGAATGCGTTGTGATAAACTCTCATATTTCTGATAAGTAATTTGTCTTTTTTTCTTCATCAGTCTGGCTAGTGGCTTATCAAATTTAATCTTTTCAAATAGTTGCTTCTTGAATTCATTAATTTTCTCTGTTTTGGTTTTTGTGTTCAGCAAATCACATTATTTTACATGTATGAATCACAACCATATGGTTTAATTTTTTTTTAATTTTTTTTTAGAGGCATGTTTTATTTATTTGTTTGTTTGTTTGTTTGTTTGTTTATACATGCACTGGGTACAGTCAGAAGCGCGGGAGGGTGAGAGAATTCACCAGAGCCAGAGCGGGGAGCAGAGCAGGCAGAAGGACCGAAGTACACTGCTGAGGGGAGCAGCGGGCAGCAGGAGAGGTCTGCGCGCCATGTGGGACCCTCCTCCGGTGGCTGGGGAGCAGCTGGGGATTGAACCGGCGCCGCAGAGGCCGCAGGTAGCTTTGCAACCCAGCGCTCAACTGCCGTGCCACTGGGGAGGCCCGATATATGGTTTAATTTCAAACCTTTAAAGTTTATTGAGATTCATTTTATGGCTCAGAATTGGATATATTTTGGTGAGTGAATGTTAAAACAATGTGCTTCCTACTATTCTGCAGTCTTCTACAAACACTGAATAGGTCAGGATGGTTGATGGTGTTCTATATCTTCTATATTCTTACTGACTTTCTACTTGTTCTATCAATTACTGAAAAAGAATTATCGAAATCTTCAACTATAATTATGCCTGTCTACTACTTCTCTTTTCCACCAGTTTTTGATTTATGTTTATTGAAACTTTCTAATTAGGTGATTAGGATGATTATGGCCTCTTGATTAATTAACTTCTCTATTTTAAAATGCCTGTTTAATTCTTATAAAATAACTTGTCCACTTTTGTCAATATTAAAATAGTTTTTCTGGCATTTTCTTGGTTAATGTATATGTCTTTTTCCATTCTTTCACTTTAGGCCTGTGTCTTTATATTTAATAAAATGGGTATTTTTTTTCTTTTCTTAAAGTTATTCAACTTCTCTCTCTTTTTTTTAAAGATTTATTTACTTATTTATACAACCACTGGGTACAGTCAAAAGTGCGGGAGGGTGAGAGCCAGAGTGGGGAGCAGAACAGGCAGAACGATGAAGTACACTGATGAGGGGAGCAGCAGGCGCAGCAGGAGAGGTCTGCGTGCCATGTGGGACCCTTGCCGGTGGCCGGGGATCTAACCGGCACTGCAGAGGCTGCGGGCAGCTTCGCAGCTCAGTGCTCAACCGCTGCACCACCGGGGAGGCCCTAAAATGGGCATTTTACAATGTGCTAGCGCTAACTTCTCCACCTTTTGGATCTCTACAAAGGTCTTCATTGCACTTTTTTTTTTTAAATTTTATTTTATTTATTTATGCATATAAGAGCTGGGGTGTAAGCCAGAGGTATGGGGGGTGAGAGAATTCACCAGAGACAGAGTGGGGAGCAGAACACGCAGATCCACTGAAATACACTGCTGAGGGAAGTAGTGGGGAAGACAGAAGAGGTCTGCGCCATGTGGGTTAGCTCCCTGGCTGGGGATCGAACTTGTGCTGATGTGGCTGTTGATAGCTTGATAGTGCTGAGACTTAACCCCTTGTGCCACCAGGGAGGCCCTGCACTTTTAATTTTTAAAGGTTTTTTCCTACTGCACATAAATTCCAGTGCAACATTTTTCTTCCTGAATTTTAGAATGTTATTACATTGTCCTCTGGTTTCTATCATTTTGTTGAACTATCAGACATCAGTTTTATTATTTTTCCTTTGAACTTAATGTGTCCTTCCCCAAATCGACTTCCAGCCTCTCTTCAGCTACTTTTAAGGTAGTTTTTTGTTTGTTTGTTTGTTTTAATTTATTTATACAAGAACCGGGGTAGAGGCCAGATGTGCGGGAGGGTGAGATGATTTACCAGAGACAGAGCGAGGAACAGAACAGGCAGACTGACGAAATACACTGCTGAGGGGAGCAGTGGGCAAGACAGGAGAGGTCTGCCACGCCATGTGGGACCCTCGCTGGCCGGCCGGGATTGAACCGGTGCTGCAGTGGCTACAGACAGCTTCACAGCACGGCGTTCAACCGCCTGCGCCACCAGGGGAAGCCCTACTTTTAAGGTAGTTTTAAAGAGTTTAGGTATCATGTATCTGGTTGTGATTTTTTTCTGTATCCAAATTTGGATGTGTTCTCTTATTTTTAAGTTTGTATATTTTTATTAATTTTTAGCCATCACATATTCAAATATCATTTCTACACCATTCTTGTTCTTCTTTAGATCTCTAACAATAATCACAAGTTCTTTTCATTGAATCTCTATATTCTCTCTTCCAAATTTTTTTTCCTCTTAATGCTTCAGTTTCAATGTATCTACTAACCTGCCTTCTGCTGTTAAACTTATCCAATGAATTAATTTCACGTATATATTTAAAGCATATAATATTCATTTGGTTCTTTTTACATATATTCCAATAATCTGTTGAAACTTGCTATTTTTTCCCATTATTTGCTTCTAACATATCATTGTTATATTTAAACACGTCTTCTAACCACACAGGAAATAAAAGGTAAGATAAATACTGGCTGTTTTCTACAATGCCATCATATTAAAGCAGAAAGCTCACCACTTTATATTAAAAAAAGTAAATTAAATTTCTTGTGGAAAATGGTGCTTTTTAAAAGAAGGACTAAATCTAGCACACTGCTAGATTGTAGTCCATGCATATCTAGAAAAAATGATTCTTACCTTTGCTAAGGTTTTCTTGGAATAAATATCAGTACGGAGACCAAAGTTCTGTAAATCAATTGGTTTTTCTTTGTTCTTCTCAGGAAAATTTAACATCTGCTGAGCAGCAGGGACCTATCAGTCAGAAAAATTAAAAGTGGCTGTTTTAACCACAACAAAGTCAAGGGGACAGAAAGTTTTAAAGAATTGCTTAATATTTACTTAAACCACTCTTGGTAGAGATGCAACCAAAACAAAACCCACACCTCCAAACTACACGTCTAGAAAGATTTCAACACATAAAGAAATATTTTTCTGCCTCTTTTATTTTTTTTAAAGATTTATTTATTTATGCATACAAGAGCTGGGGTATAGGCCAGAGTATGCAGGGGGTTAGAGGAGCCACCAGAGAAAGTGGGGAACAGAACAGGCAGATTGACTGAAATACACTGCTGAGAGGAGCAGCGGGCAAGACAGGAGAGGTCTGTCTCGCAATGTGGGTTTCTCCCTGGCTGGCTGGGAGATCGAACTTGTGCTGCAGAGACTATGGATTGTCTTATAGTGCGGTGCTTAATCCCCTGAGCCACCAGGGAGGCCCTTTCTGCCTCTTTTAATTCATAGAAAGAATAGACAATTTTCCCTTTCTACAATCTTCCCTTTCACAATGGCCAGCAATTTATAGCTTAGTCATATTAATCCAACTTAATGCAATATATAATCAATTTGAGACAATAATCTTTTCATGAATATATGTACAGATGTCCACTTTACAGATACTAGAAAACGGAAGACATTTCTGTAGAATCTGCTTGTCTTTGATGGCAGAAGTGATAATGGGAGTTAAGTATGAAAGGAAATCTAGAACATAATAGAATAAGGCATAGGGTCTTGGTATTAATGGGAGAGTGTTATCCTAAATAATAAATAAAGTTGATATTTCGACAATATGGGATTGAAATATAAGTATCCATGTGAAATTTTATCCCCCTGTCCGTGGCTTCTGCATTCATAAATTCAACCTAGTTGCTTGAATCCCCACAAGAACCCATGGATATGGAGAGCCAAACCATAAGAAACTTGAGCATCTGTGGATTTGGTACAGTTGTATTTGGGGGACAGGGAAGGGAGGGCGTTCAGGGGGCAAGTGATTTGATTGGAGGCCCTAATACCAATCCCCATGAATAATAAAGATGTCGATAGTTAAGTTTTTGGAAGTCAAGAGTTATGCACGGATTGTCAACAGGGTCAGCATCTATAACCCCACACTGTTCAAGGATCAACTGTATTCTTAGAGAAACATTTATAATAGATAAAACAAAGAAAAAGTATAAGCTAAGAAATAGCACTATATTACATGACAATAACTGTTGAATATGAATGCTCTGAGTGGTTGTCTACTACCATCCAGACCTAAAAAAAAAGGCAGCATTACTTCACCTGAGGTGATCGAAGATGTAGAGGCACAAGTCCAGAAGGGGTATCAGCTAACACATTGAAATGAGGAGTAGGAGGAGGTCCCATTGCCATGGGACGACTTTCTGGATCCACTTGGTAATTAACAAGACCCCACTGCTCTAAAAAGGCATGAACCCTGAAGAATAAAAGCTCTAAGTTAAAATCTAGAAATTGTATCCCATCTCCTCAACAATCATCATCTCATGTTATTAAAAAACAAAGTATGTTCTCTGTATACAGACTATGAATCATCACAAAGTAATTGACAGATCTGGTTTATTATATGAGGAATAATTTCCCTAAAATAAAAATAAAATTGACAAGACAGTACCCTCAAAAGCTAGGATAAAATCTATTAGTCTCAATTACAGAATTGATTGAACAAATGCTGAGGTCCATGGCAAAATAACTTATAAACTAACTTCAAGGAGATCCTTTTTTTTTTTTAACAAAAGCAGACTAAGGCACAGAATTTATCCACTACCCACTTCAATTCACTATACCCTACCCCTGGGTCATTTATCTGACTATGAAATAAAAAATGGAAATTGTGAAATCTTAAAAAGAGAAAATGCTCAGGTACTTACAAAATCCAATGCCTAAATCAGACAAAATGTAGATATTTTATTAATCGTCCCCCCCCTTAAAAATTCAGTTTAAAAAAAAAATCCAGTTTAATCATATTAGACAGAAATGTATCAGTAGCCTCCTGCAATGTAGCATCTAAGATGTCACAAATTTTACCTCATCACAGCACATACATCTCCAGTCAAGTTTCTCCGACAAGCTGTGCTGGTTAAATATTCTTGGGGGTTTAGGCGGTATGTGTCAATCATAAAATTCCGATATGCCAAGTATCTAAAAAGCAAGGGCGAGATTCATAAAGTGGATACACATCCTTTCAGAAACAAGTCACAGGGTCTAAAATATTCTGTTCCTCATAACCAAACATAACAAAGTTAAGACAACAATCCAACAAACAGTAATACTGTATTAACTCAGGGAAATCCCTAATATGCAAAACATTTGTTTATCTAAAATAGTTATCTGATGAAATTATATAATCTTTGTCACAGAGATTAAGTGGATAAATCCATAGTTGCCTGCAGTATTTGTAAACAAACAAGTTGCTTAGGCTATCTCCTTACTTACTAGCATTGACTGTGTACCAGGAATAGTTTTTAGAAGTTTCCATGCAGAAACTCAAGCTTAACTAACTCTCTAGAAGATAGGGTTAATTATTGTCCCATTTACAGAAGAGAAAATGGAAGCACAAAATGATTAAAGAATTTGTTAGACCACAAGACTGGTTGAATGGTGGAGCTAAAATCCATCAGTGGGAGGGTTTTAGAATCCATGTTCTTAAACCTTGTTGCATCATGTTTCCATAACATTTTCCTAAAACAGTGGATTCGGTTCAGACAATGACTATATATCTTCTGGCTGGCAGTTTTTCAGATACTACCTATACAACATGTAGAACCCATGAGAATAAACTCAAAGGAAAGACAAGAACATACCAAAAAAAGCAGAAAAACTAAAACTCTTGATTCATAGCATGGTCCACAATGCACTCAAACATTTGTGCCACAAAATACTTAAAATAAGTATTAAAAGAATACAGGGACCTAGCAAAAATTTTTGCCAAAAACATCTGGCAGCTTGACTAGAAAAGATACATCATTCAAAAAAACTACTGTATAAGCATAGATGGATAAAAAAAGACAGGAAGGTGAGTTCTTCCAATGCAAAATCTTAACAAAGCTTTATGTAATAAGATTAACTCATATACAGCTACATCATATTTGTCTTTCTTTTAATTAATAATCATTAATCAGGAAAATAAGGTAAACACTGCAACTTCCCCCTTGTTAATGCGTGAACAAAGAAGGTGGGAATTATTAGGGTGAAACCTGACTCTCACTTAGTGAGTACATATTACCAAAATCAATTTTAAGCTTTGAGACATGGTAGCTATATGTTTCAAGGTAGAGGAAGAAAAAAAATTGAAACAATTTCCTTCCAAGTAAGGAATGTTGCACAGCTGAGATGTGAACACTGTTCTAAAGGGAGTATTTGAAAACTTCACATACTAGCAAAAAGGAATTCAAAGGTATGTTTTAAGAACAGCCTGTTATACATACATACTCAAGCAATTTTTTAAAACACTGGTCTCATTTAATTAACAGGGGCCTCCCTGGTGTGCAAGGGGTTAAGCACCAGCACTATGAAGCAATTCGCAGGTATTACAGCATGAGTTTGACTCCCAGCCAGGGAGGTGAACCACATGGTGCAGCAGACCTCTCCTGTCTTGCCTGCTGCTCCCCTCAGCAGTGTGTTTCAGTCAACCCAGCTATTCTGCTCCCCACTCTCTCTGGTGAATCCTCTCACCCCTTCCCCCCTGCACCTCTGGCCTACACCCCAACTCTTATATGCATAAATAAATAAATCTTATTTAAATAAAAGTTATATTAACAGTGTAAGGATAACATGTTTACATTTCACTCACATTTCTGGAGTCTTGGATTTGTTTTTTCCATTGAAAAACTCAGGAAGGGCTCGCCGTTCAATCACATGAATACTTAAAAAGGAAAAAAAAAGGTTTCAAAGTCCTCTTTGAATGAAATACTAAAATTTGAGCTAATTTTGTTTAATTTTCACAGTACAACCATTAAATCCAAAAATATGACTGCCCGCAAAACTTACCTGATTTGTATAAGTTCCTATGAATTAATAGCATATTTTATATACCCAAAAAAGCTTTCCCTTTTCACCCCCAATAATTACTTTTTCATTCCTATAACCAAACAAAAAGTACTAAAAACAGATGAAAAGCTATACAATTTATCATGTTCTCATCAAAAGATGACTAAAAATGAAGAGCAATGACACAGTACCAATCTTTAGACATTGGATTATAAAAATCAAAACAGTTGGCCTGCAACAAACTGGTAAACAAAAGACCAACCAAAAGACAATGAAACTGACAAAAATCATCCATGAAAGCTTTTGTTCAGACCTCAGAAACTTTGTGGTAAACTGAAACTTCAAAACATTTCAGTGATTTATACTGCTTTTAAAAATGACCATAGACCCAATTTTTAACATTTAGATAAAAGCACTGACAATTATACAAAATAGTATAGGTCACAATCCCTCTAAAATAATCAAGTCTAATACACAATATAAATGAGACCACTATATATCTAGCATAAGGTTTCCCACAGTAATACTAGTCAATATTTTCCCTGATGACACACTTTTAGTTTATTAGTGGCTTTCTAAAGATGCAATATATACTGAAATTACCTGGGAAAAAACAAATAAGTAGTTAGTGAATGTAACTAAAAGCATGCTCATTCAAACAATGTAAACTGAATCTGTATTGCAAACTACTATAAACACTATTAGTTACCTCAAAACTTTTAGAAATATAATTTCTAGGATGAACTAGTGCTATACATATATTATATAGGTATAATAACTTTCCAAGTTTTACTGTAAAAATAGTTGTACGCTATTAACTATATAGCTCTAATATATCTTTTACTGTTCTGTTACAAGCTGGGAAGAGCTCTTAAAATTTTTTTTCTGGAGGCCTGCCTGGTGGTATAAGGGGTTAAGCGTTAGCACTATGAAGCAATCTGCAGCCACTGCAGCACAAGTTCGATTCCTGGCCAGGGAGCTAACCCACATGGCATAGCAGACCTCTCCTGTCTCACTCGCTGCTCCCCTCAGCAGTGTTTATCAGTGGATCTGCCTGATCTGCTCCTCACTCTGTCTCTGCTGAATCCTCTCATCCTCCTGCACCTCTGGCCTATAACCCAGTTCTTTTATGCATGAATAAATAAATCTTTAAAAAAAAAAAAATTCTGCCAAGAACAAGATTCATGATGCTTTGTCATAAGAATTTCTTCTTTTTTCCCCCCAAGATTTATTTTACTTTTTTATGCACACAAGAGCTGGTGTATAGGCCAGATGTGCGGGGAGGTGAGAGGATTCACCAGAGACAGAGTGGGGAGCACAACAGGTGGACTGACTGAAATATACCGCTGAGGGGAGCAGAGGGTAAGACAGGAGAGGTCTGCTGTGCCATATAGGCTAGCTCCCTCGCCAGGGATCGAACTCCTGCAGTGGCTGCATACAGCTTCATAGTGCTGAGACTTAGCCCTTGAGCCACCAGGGAGGCCACTATCAACATCTAAGTTTGAAGTAATGGCAGCTATGTCCTTAATTTCTGAAAATGAGTCAAGTAGAGGAAGAGTGGGTATCCAGAATCAGTAAACCTGAGTTCTTCCAATCATAAACTCTGCAACTTTAGAATACTTCAACTGAAGGATAAAATAGGAATATTAGTAATACTTCCAACCTTCACTACCTAACAGCACGTTTAATGACCTGCAAAGGTTATCCTGCAAATGAAAGCATTTTTGTAACCTATAAAAACTAAAAATTATAGGGCCTCCCCTGGTGGCGCAGCGGTTGAACGCTGTACTGCGAGGCTGCCCACAGTCTCTGCAGTGCAGGTTCGTTCCCCCGCCACCGGCAAGGGTCCCACCAAAAAAAAAAAAAAAAAATCTAAAAAATTATATGCTGTTATGACTTTTCCTATTTTTAATTTTAGAGGAAAAGAGTGCTAATTTCTTGTATCCTTTTAAGCTTATTCACCTAGTGAGTTTTGAAACAACAAACTCATTATTTTGGAAGAAAAATACCAGTTAACAAAAATAAAGAAAATGTTTTTAAAAAGCAACTTAATATTTACTATTTAGCATGTAGTGATACATTAATTACCAATTATTTACTGAAAAGAAAAATGAGGACAGGACAAGAAAAGAACAATGAGATGAAAGGACAAATTAAATGCATCAACATAATTTTATTTCAAAGCAAACACAAAAATCTGACTTTAAAGACTGAACCTTAAAAATGTAATTACAAATAATGAGACTGAAAAACTTCTAAATTTCAACAATTTAACACAATAATCAGCATAATAAAGACTGATTGTAAAAGAAGAAATACTTTTTTCAGTTTCTATTTATTGAAAAGATTTAAGAACAGCATTCAGAGTGGTTTTAAAGGTATGAATGCACAAAGTTCCATATCAGAACTAGAACTTGTGGTTTTAGACAATGAGGTTTGGCTCAATTATATCTTATTCCACATCAATTAGGTTCAAGCTAATACAATTTTACCTCAAGTTACAACATGATCTAATTTACGTCCCTAAGTTGTTTTAAAAAGCAGATTCCGGGGCCTCCCCGGTGGCTCAGCGGTTGAGTGCTGGGTTGCGAAGCTGCCCACAGCCTCTGTAGCGCCGGTTCAATCCCCGGCTGCCAAGCAAGGTCCCACATGGCGCACAGACCTCTCCTGCTGCCCGCTGCTCCCCTCAGCAGTGTACTTTGTCAGTCTGCCTGTTCGGCTCCCTGCTCTGGCTCTGGTGAATTCTCTCACCCTCCCGCACTTCTGACTCTACCCAGTGCAAAAAAAAAAAAAAAGCAGATCCAAAGGAAAAAAAAATAAAATCACTGTCCATCTTCCTTCATCCAGTGTGACAGTGACTATTAATGTGTGGAATTCAGCAGAGCAACACAATATGATTTCTAGGAAACTTTCCCTCCTCCTAAGTACCATGTTCACAGATGTGAAGGGCTCACTCACCAGTTATAGTCAAACCATGATGCATAGCTAGGAATAATAATGTGATTGGTTTGCTCTGTCACATTATCTTCACCAGGGTCAATCGACCGGCTCTGATCACCTTTGCTAGGATCTTCATCTTCCTAAAGGGAAGTCATCAGAGAAAGAACAACAAATTACAGATACACATGTAACAGCTTTTAAACTTCTGATATATTAGGTCAGAGAAAATGAAGCAAGTTGATTCAATTTCAAGGACTAGGTAAACAAATTTCAAGTAAAAACAGTCTTCATAATTTTTAAGTTGTCTTCACATATCAATGACACAGCAGGTCTTATTCCTTCCTTTTAAAGTGGAAGGAATCAACTCACAGGAGGTAAATGTCTTCTAATAAAATAGCAAATTAACTGAAAAAAGGTTGTTTTCACACTCAAGAATTGACTACTGCCTAAAAATTGTTCTATAATATCTTGCTTCTTGTGCAGCTTTACCTTACCTTAGGTTCCCAACTCTAAATTACTAGTTCTCAAGTTATTTATAGGGAAGTGATTTGGGGACACTAATAAGGCACCATGACAAAGATTATCCCAAACCAAAGATGAATGCTGAGTATCTGCTAATGATTATATGAGCATTATTTCATTTACTATTCACAAAAATAACAGTAAGTACTGTTATCAAGACTTTTATCAAGGATACTATACTAAGAGGAAACAATTTTTTAATTTTCCTGTTTTCTAATTTTGTAAAGTTTAGTCTATGAACTTCATCTGTGATATTAACTATATTCAATCTTAAAAACTTTTTTCTACTAGAAATCATTCAAATTTTGAATTGTTTTTTTTTTTTTTTTTTTTTTTAAAGATTTATTTATTTATTTATACAAGCACTGGGTACAGTCAGAAGCACGGGAGGGTGAGAGAATTCACCAGAGCCAGAGCGGGGAGCAGAGCAGGCAGAAGGACCGAAGTACACTGCCGAGGGGAGCAGCGCGCGGCAGGAGAGGTCTGCGCGCCATGTGGGACCCTCCTCCGGTGGCCGGGGAGCAGCTGGGGATCGAACCGGCGCCACAGAGGCCGCGGGCAGCTTCGCAACCCAGCGCTCAACCGCTGCGCCACCGGGGAGGCCCTGAATTGTTTTTTTAATAATGGTTCCAGGGCCTCCCCAGTGGCGCAGTGGTTGAGCGCTGGGTTGCAAAGCTGCCTGCAGCCTCTGCAGCACCGGTTCGATCCCCGGCTGCTCCCCGGCCACCAGAGGAGGGTCCCGCATGGTGCGCAGACCTCTCCTGCCGCCCGCTGCTCCCCTCAACAGTGTACTTCGGTTCTTCTGCCTGCTCTGCTCCCCGCTCTGGCTCTGGTGAATTCTCCCACCCTCCCGCGCTTCTGACTGCACCCAGTGCTTGTATGTATGTATGTATGTATGTATGTATGTATGTATGTATGTATGTATGAATGAATGAATAAATAAATAAATAAAGGCTCCAACTTTAATTCCACCAAAATTTCTGTGTTATATTGAGGTGAGGATCTATAATGTTCCTGCTAAGAAACAGTAGTTTACTTAAGATCAATAAATACAAAAACATTTTAATGTATGACAGCATCAAGGAAACTCTGGTTGTAACTTAAGTTGGTATTTAAACAAATGTGTTAATTCTGATGACAATGGTGGAGAAATTTTATTTATCAAATCAGGGAAATTAACAAAAAAAATGCTCAGAGTTACTGTGTGTTTTTGAGGGGCAGGTTTTACAAGCTGAATTAGAACTCAAAAATTTTTCTTTATTCAGTAAAACCAAGGACAGGCTACATTGCTATTAATGAAGACTGACAGTCTATGGGTAAATTATCTCAATGATGACACTGTGGGGCTGGGTGTTAGAATTAACTATATCTAGTATTCTTTAGTTTAAGTTATGTAACAGACATGTCTATGGTTTTACACAAGTGGCATTAAAAAAAAACCAACCCTTACAGGTTAAGTTCTTTGGCTTTCTATTTTGTTCTCTTTGACTACCACACAACAGTATTTATTCTGAATGATAAATCTTTTTACAAATGAATACTTATTAATGATTATAAATAGCTTTTAACTAAAGAAGTCTGGTTTTAAAATCACAACAAACAATTTAATTGAGTGATGTGGAAGCATCACATGTAGAAGAGTTTCTTGAAATACTTTTCCTGGAAATACTGTCATGAATATGTTCATTTCTTGAATATATAAAAAAAAGTCTATTTTTGGAATTTTTTGACTCAGTGCAAAAAACAATTATCCATTTTCAGCAAATTAAGGATGCTATTTCCAGGAAATCAGTCATTAGTGAGCTAATTAGTAACCATCAAATATGACACTGAAATAAAGAACCATTTATTAAAAAGTAAGTAAAAATCTGTCTAAAATCCAATACCTTATATCAGTGTGATTACTGATATATCTCTACAGTAGAACTGATGACACAGTAAACAGCTGGCTGTAAACCTCAACAAAGCTCAACAATATGATCAAAGCCTTCATCAGCTATGCATGGGAGGCAGTGATAGAGAAACCAATAGAAATGGGAGTGAGAAAAACAGGGTAAGGCAGGGCTACTGCTAATCTACACTTTTAGATAACATCTGTGATACTGTGATAAGTTCTGATTATTACTTTACAGCCAGGGGAGTAATGAAACTAGGAGTTACAGCCTACAAGTAAGGGACAGTAATTGGAAAGATGGAAGTTTCCTTTTGGTAAAATTTGGGGATTAAGACAAATTATTTTGGTGGTGTTAAAAAAGAAATTAAAATCAGAAGGAAGTCAAGACAGAATATTTCTAAGAACACTTCCAGTTGAGTGTTTCTACTCAGTAGACAGGACTAAAATCAGAAGGAAGTCAAGACAGAATATTTCTAAGAACACTTCCAGTTGAGTGTTTCTACTCAGTAGATATGACCCTTAGTGAGCTGCTCCTCACCAAGTCTAATTAAATGATTACCTTTCCTCCTGTTGTGACAGTTTCTTCATCTTGCTCATCTGCAAAATCAAAACATATAACGTATTTCAGAAGCAGATAAATACTATTTGAATTACTTGGAACCTTTAAGGTTTAAATAATTACTACTAGGCAGAAAAGAAATGGAGCATTATTAAACCAAATTCAACTCAAGTAATTCAGAAAATTAGAATTAGACATAGAAGCACAGAGGTGAGCAGAAATTCACAGCATAAATAAGTTTTCTAAGAAAGGGAAATTTATTATTAATTACTGTTTGGACTACTATCTTAGTCATGATCTTGCCTAACAGGTAAGGGATTTGACTAGGAGGACAACTCTTACCTTCTGAGGTTTGGTGAAACAAAGTAATGACATTATGGTTCCAGAGGAAATGACAAATGAGAAGTAAAGAAAAAAGTAATAATCAATCCCTACAGTCAAAATACTAGTAAGAATATTAATACATTCTAAGGATCAGGGACCTACATGAGGACCTTGAATAATGAACAGGAGTAGGGGCCTCCCCAGATGGCGCAGTGGTTGAGCACTGGGCTGCAAAGCTGCCCGCAGCCTCTGCAGCACCGGTTCGATCCCTGGCTGCCGGTGAGGGTCCCACATGGCGCACCCACTGCTCCCCTCAGCAGTGTGTTTTGTCAGTCTGCCTGTTATGTTCCCTGCTCTGTCTCTGGTGGACTCTCTCACCCTTCCATGCTTCTGACTGTACCCAGTACTTGTATAAATATATAAATCTTAAAAAAAAAAAAAAAGAACAGGAGTAAACCCATAGTAGTAACATATAACTAAGCAGTTGTCTTCTATAATGAGAAATAAGAAGTGCCAGTGTAGAAAGTATAAGAGGTTATGGCACAATAATTATATTACTAAGTTCCTGTAATATTTTTTATAATTATGACTACTGGCAACGACTAAAATTCAAAGAGAACACAGGGAAGCCATTTTCCATTAATTAATTCATTCAACAAAATTTTTCAAGAATCTGTGATTTGAAATGTACTAAGTAAGTTAAGAACAGGGAATCTATAGCCCATAGACTAAATCTGGTCTACAGCCTATTTTTGCATGAAATCTGGCATTATGCATGGAATCTGAGAATTTGTCAGTCGTTCCCAGTTAACAGTTAACTTGTAAGAAGGGTGGTTCACTGTGCCTAGACTAAGCAAAAAACATGATCTCTGAGGAACTTTTGGCTTTATTTCTAGGAGCCTAGAATTTTGTTATGGGCTTGAGGGGACCCAACATGATCAGGTCCCCCCAATAAAACCACAGGGCGGGCTTAAAGGGCAGAAATACTGCATATACATTCCTTTATTTTTGTTGCTAGGCAAAGAATCTATTCTGTATGACACTTCATGTGTTAAGAAAAAAATGAGGAAGCCATCACCCAAATTTTGTGTCATTTTTCTTTGCAATCTCTCTGCTTATGCTTCCAATGTTAGTTGTAATAAATGGTAGCCATGAGTACAGCTTACAGCTACATGCTGAATCCCATGAGTCCTTTTAGAGAATTTCCAATCTGGGGATCACTACTTTATCTGTAGTGATGAGTGGATTTTATATTTTTTAATGGCTCACAAGAAAATCAATAGAAAACTGTATTGTGACACATAAAAATTAACTGAAATTTATATTTCACCATGCATAAATAAAAGTTTTGTCGAAGTTATGACTATCTGTCCACATATTATCTATGGATGCATTTGCATTACAATGTCAAAAATGAGTAGCTTTGAGAGGGACTATATGGCCCACAAGCCCGAAATGTTATCTGGTCCTTTTCAAAAAGTTTGCCTACTCCCTAATTCAGAGGATGTAAAGAAAATAATTTAATGGATAAGGAATTAGCATTGAAATATTCAGCTTAATTTTATAAAGGATCTACTAAGTGTTAGCCATTTGTCCAAATGCTAACAACATAATGATCAAGAATAGATCCCTGTCTTTATGGAGTTTACATTCTAGTTAGCAGTGGCAGGGGAATAGGAAGAGAAAATTAATACTAAAAAAGATATTCGATATTGAAACCTGCCATACAGAGAATAAAGACAAAGCAATATATTTAAGACAGGTAATGGGGAGCTGGATCCTTCATTGCGAAGAGAAAACATGAAAATTCTAAAAATATGAAATTTAAGGTAAAACAGTAGAAAAGGACTAAGGAAACATTACACGGAGAGGATCAAAACATCTCAGGCAGAGATGGACCTGACAACGTCCCCCAAAAATGAAAGCCTGCTGTCACCACAGATACAGGCTAAGAAATGAGCAAATCATAATAGCAGAGTACAATGATAAAAAGTATTGTCACTAAAGTTACAAAGACCTGGACCTGAAACTGTGCTTTGCCACTTAATAGATGTATGCTTGGAATGTTACTGAATCCCTCCAGATCTCTATCGCCTCATCAACAAACAGGGCTAATGTGGTTTAATGGTGAAATGCAAACAAGTGTAGCAGGATGCCTGATAGTCATGCAATATAGAAATGGATACTGTCACCTGAATTACAAGTTACAGAGGAACACCTGCTAACTGGAATAGAAGATTTTGTGTGTGGTTAATGATGGTACTACTATAGGAGTCATCTAGCTGTACAAAGGGACTATTTTTTCCTAAGAAATAATTAACAGAAAGCAACCCTGCTAAAGCTGTCAAAAATGAAAAGTTTATTTGGATTACAGTCAAGCAAATATTAAACTTCTCACTAAATGGTGATTGCCACTTAATGATCTCTCTGGTCAATATATACTTTTCAAGTTTACTTTAACAGATTTCTGCCCCCAAGGAATCTTGGTACCCAATGGAAATAAATATCTATTAGATAATACAGAAGACGAGAGACACACTTCTTACTGATTCCTAATGTAATACTTAACGAATGTTCTCTTCCTCCTAAATGTGGGCAAATGCATTTTCACCTCAATTCCTGGATCTTTCAGAAATTTCATGAAAGAAATGAAGACTGGGCTTGTTTAGCTAGGTGGCACATAAGGCAGGAAATGGGCCAGTTTGAAACATAAACAGCTATCCTAGGCATGATTCAAATTATAGCTTATACTGAAAGTCTGATTTTTTTTTTCCCCCCCTCCTCTAACCTTCTCCCGAAAGTCTGATTCCTACATAATACATGGAAAGGCTGTCCTCCCCGGAATGAAAGGCCAGACCAACAGTTTCAAATTCTATAGATCCTAACTGTTCAGTTGTGACCAGCAACATCATTATCCATAATCCTCATGATTTGGAACTTAGGCTGTTCACAAATACACAGGGAAATCTCATATTTAGCACTAAAATATTTTAATCCAGCTGGCAATCCTATCTCTTCCCCAAAATTGGCTTCAATTTCATTCCTTTGATAAAGTCTATTACAAAAATACTCTTGGAAGTTATCTCACTGATAAAGGACACCAGGTTTATTCCTTTTCAGAATATATAGTCAAAAAATATGAAATATTCTGTTTAAAAACTGTCCCAGAGAAGAATAAGAAGTGTTAGCATTCATTTTTCCTCCCAGTTTGCTCAGAATATCAAATAAAAAAACCACTTATAGTTTTTACTTTATTGGTTTTTGATTTGGCGAATATGTGTCAGTTGTAAATAGGCAATATTAACTTGCTGAGAATGTAAACTATTAACAGCAATTCAAGAACTATATTCTATTACCAATGTTTAAAACAATTAAGATAGACCAATATATTGACAGGATCTCTTTTCTTAATTGATTTTACTGACCTAATATCACCTTTCTACAAATTGTCAACAAGACAATTTTCTGACTTCACTTTCAACATAATGAAGAATGGAATCATTCAATGATGTTCAATGACAGGCATTACGCCAGAAGGAACAGGATGTATTTAATGAAATGACGTAGAAATAGTTTCCCAAATACCAAAGTATATCTACCATCAAGAATCACTAAAGGGGGCCTCCCCGGTGGCGCAGCGGTTGAGCGCTGGGTTGTGAAGCTGCTCGCAGCCTCTGCAGCGCCGGTTCGATCCCCGGCTGCTCCCCGGCCACCAGAGGAGGGTCCCACATGGCGCGCAGACCTCTCCTGCCGCCCGCTGCTCCCCTCAGCAGTGTACTTCGGCCCTTCTGCCTGCTCTGCTCCCCGCTCTGGCTCTGGTGAATTCTCTCACCCTCCCGCGCTTCTGACTGTACCCAGTGCATGTATAAACAAACAAACAAACAAACAAACAAATAAATAAAAATACATGCCTCTTTAAAAAAAAAAAAAAAAAAGAATCACTAACGGATGCCTCCTTGGTGGCGCAAGGGGTTAAGTCTCAGCACTATGAAGCTATCCACAGCCACTGTAGCACGAGTTCGATCCCCGGCCAGGGAGCTACCCACATGGCGCAGTAGACCTCTCCTGACTTGCCCGCTGCTCCCCTCACAAGTGTACCTCAGTAGATCTGCCTGTTTTCTGGGATCCACCATTCTGTCTCTGGTGAATCCCCTCACCATGCATCACTGTCCCCCCGGCCCCCGCCCCAGCAGCCCGTACCTCTGGCCTACACCCTAGTTATTATATAGTTATAATACCCTAGATATGCACAAATACATAAATCTTTAAAAAAAGGAACCATTGCAATATATTAAAACATATAAGAAATAGTTAATTAGAAGGTAGAGAAAATGAAATCATATTTTCTACATGAGATCTTGAAAACACCATCCATTTATACCTCTCAGGAACAGAATGTGTAAAACAACCATGGTTTGTAAGAATTGAAGCTAGTGCCACCAACTCTTTTCTTTTTCATACTCATCTGTTACCCTCCCAGCACATCAAAAACATATCCTACTGCAAAATGTACCACACAACTTGAACATATAATGACAGAATGATGTGGTTCTCATGTTAGACTCTTTCCAGTAGGCCTACACAGTAAGCTTATGTTTTCATCAACTTATATATGTTGTGAAACAAATCATTTCAGAGATTATAAAGTGTTTTGACTACAAGTAGTTCTTTAAAATGCAAATAACTAATTTAGGTATACTGTCACTTTTGTGAGTTTGCAGGAAAACTGTAAAGAATGGACAATAGGAAATTAAACTTCCTAACAGGTACCAAACCCAACAACAATGGTACTAATAAGGCAGCTGCAGTTATCTGTGCTGGAACACAGAGTAACAAGAAAGTATCATCTCTAAGTAAAGAAGAATTATCAGAAATCAAGAATCAAGCAGAATCAAGAGAGAAAACAACACAGAACTACAAAGATTTAATGGTTTTACCTAGATCTGCTACAGTTCCTCCTTTAACAGGTGTATTTTCACTATCTTTCTTTGGGTTTACTAGAAAGAAAAAAAAAAATCATGTTTAGGGGGGGAAGTTCTAATTGCTTTTTAATAGAAAAAAATAGATGATTTAAAAAATACTAGAATCTCACTCTAACTCCATCATTGTTCAGTACTCACCTTCATGTTAAAACTGCCAAGTCCAACTGAGAAAAATTAACAAAGGTAACAGACTATACATTGCAAGAAGTTGCCTAAACACCAGTATTTTTTTCATCAAAAAAGTAAATACAGAAATACATGGAACAAAACATGGGGGGAAAAAAACTTTCCATTCCTTTTCCTAGCATTTTTATTATGTTTTCTGTGCATTTCTAGAGTCATGTTTGTGCCACTCATTCAGAAAGATAAAGTGAGGGAGAACTGATGCCATAAACACACCTTTGTGACTTCAAAACATATCCTGGGGATTTTTATGTTATTTCATACTATTTATCGCTTTTATTTATTCATACTATTTATCTCTTAGCACTATACTTTTCTCATATGACAGTGTGTCTATATGATCTTTCCATGTCAGGATTTTAAGTTACATCTTTTTTCATTTTTAATAGATTGACTGAATCCATGAGTGAATCATTAGCTAATTAGTCCTAAATAGAGGGAAACTTAGTTTATTTACAATTTTCACTATTCTATAACATGCTTTCACATTTATCGTCATGTGTGCATGTAATTAAGATGGGCTCAAGTTAAAACTGCTACTGGATGTATATATTTTTAAGTATTAACAGATACAGTCAGATTGTGTTAAATGGTTTCACCCATTTATACTTTAACTAGTAGCATTTGGGATTATTCACTTACTCAAAATATGTGTGGGTTGGGAATAATCTATGTTCTAAGGTTTGAAAATTTGATGAACAATAAAGGATACTTTAATAATTTATGTATCCTTGGTAAACTGAAGCTGAAAATCCTTTCATTCATTACCCCTATATTTTTAATAAAATTACCAGTACATAATATTTTTGAGTTTTAAGAATATTTATGTAGGGCCTCCCTGGTGGCGCAGGCAGTTGAGTGCCACACTGTGAAGCTGTCTACAGCCTCTGAAGAGCGGATTCGATCCCAGCTGGCCAGTGAGAATTCCACATGGCAAAGCAGACCTCTCCTATCTCGCCTGCTGCTCCCCTCAGCAGTGTATTTCATCCATCTGCCTGTTCTGTTTCCCGCTCTGTCTCTGGTGAATCCTCTCACCCTCCCACACACTTGGCCTGTACCCCAGTTCTTGTATAAATAAATCAATCTTTAAAAAAAAAAAAAGAATATTTATGTATACTTAGGGTTCTAATTCTTCGTTAAATGAACAATGAACATTTTCTCCAAGACCAGTATTTATTTAAAATATGTGTATTGGGCCTCCCTGGTGGCGCAAGGGGTTAAGACACAACCTATGAGGCTATCCGCAGCCACTGCGGCAGGAGTTTGATCCCTGGCCAGGGAGTTACTCACATGGCACAGCAGAACTCTCCTGACTCGCCCGCTGCTTCCCTCAGCAGTGTATTTCAGTCAGTCTGCCTGTTCGGTTCCCCACTCTGTCTCTGGTGAATCCTCTCACCCCCCTGCATCTCTGTCCTATGCCCCAGCTCTTATATGCATAAGTAAATAATCTTAAATAAAAAAATCTTAAAAAAAAAAAAGAATTATAAGTGCTTAAGAAGCAGTTTGACCCTTTACCATTAAATTCACATTGCCAAATTCACAATAAATATATATAAAAAAAAGGAACTCTATTTGAATTGGCCATTAAAGTCCACTAATGAATTCAGTCATTACTGTGTCTAAATCATGTATGAGTTATTATAGTGCTACAGTTTATGTTAACTAGTAGAATTACCACCAACTTCACAGCTTTCATTTAAAATAAATCTTGGGAATACTTTTGTGGATTTTCTCTTCCACATGACCTTAAAAATACATTTGTGTGGTCTGTATTGCCCAATTTAATATAATATGCTATATTCAGAAAAACACATTAGAAATTACAGTAATTCTTACTAAATTCGTCACTATTTAAATTTTTCAATAGAATAGACTGTTTAAAAACAAGAACACCACAAAAATGTTTTGAGGATTGTAACACATGTAGAAGAGGCATGTATTTATCACAACTAGATAATGATGATTCTAAATAGTTTTGATACCACTATAGAAATAGCTAAAAAGCAAATGGAGAATAATAAAATCCATTGAGACAAAGTAGAACAGTGGTTGCCAGGGTATGGGAGATGGGCTAAATAAATAAAAATCTTTTAATACACCCAGAAAATGTGATTCTAAATCTACTGTATATCCTTAAATATCTGTGCCTCAAGTACATGAAATAACTTATGAAAAAAGGGAAAAATACACAAACCCACAATCTTAGCTCTTCCCAAAACTGACTCAAACAGGTTAAACTGTACTTACAAAAGTACTCATTCATATGTATTCTGTTGAGATTAACCACTATTAATTTTAAACCATTATTAAATATAGCAAACTTCTTGATCAGGTTTTCTGAATAGACAAGGAGCAAAAGTACACTAAAATAACAGTGTAAGAGAAAATTTCATAAACATTAACCCTAAAAGGGGAAATCTATTCATCTTTGAAAGGTGAGAACTGGGAATTCAAAGCAAAGAATGACTCACTCTGTGGCATAACTAAGAATGCTTAAATCATGTCAGATGCTCTCATAATCTGGGTAGGAAAATACAAACCATTTTTTGGAAGCACAACTTCCTCTATGTTGGGTACAGGTGTTGGGTCTTCCATGTCCTTGGTAAGATCTTCTTGTTCATCTTCCTCTTTCTGACTTCTGCGCTTCCCATATAGACTAGCTTGCCTAAAATATAAATAACACTGATTATACTATGACAAACTATTTCAGAGGCTTTAATCTCATTGTTAAAAATCCATTCTCAGAATCACTTTAAAAGACAAACAGCAGGGTCTCTGTGGTGGCGCAGCGGTTGAGCCCTGGGTTGCAAAGCTGCCTGCAGCCTCTGCAGCGCCGGTTCGATCCCCGGCCGCCGGGCGAGGGACCTCTTCTGCCGCCTGCTGTTCCACTCAGCAGTGTACTTCGCCGGTCTGCCTGTTCTGTTCCCTGTTCTGGCTCCGGTGAATTCTCTCACCCTCCCGCGCTTCTGACTCTACCCAGTGCTTGTATAAATAAATAAATCTTAAAAAAAAAAAAAAAAAAAAAAAGACAAACAGCAGGGTCCCCCTTGTGGCCCAAGGGGTTAAGATGCAACCTATAAGGCTGTCCACAGCCAATGCAGCACAAGTTCAATACCCGGCCACGGAGCTAACCCCACATGGTGCAAGACCTCTCCTATCTCACTCGCTGCTCCCCTCAGCAGTGTATTTCAGTCAATCTGTATGTTTTTCTCCCACTCTGTCTCTGGTGAATACTCTCACCCCTTGCTCTCTGCACCTCTGGCCTACACCCTAGCTCTTGTATGCATAAATTAAACGTTAAAAAAAAACACAAACAGGGATCAAGGAAATTAGATATTCTCCGAAATAACAGCTAATAAGTCAAAAGGAAAATGAGTTTTTGGACATAAGAAATGAGCAAAGAGGGCCTCCCCGGTGGCGCAGCAGTTGAGCGCTGGGTTGCTAAGCTGCCCACAGCCTCTGCAGCGCTGGTTTGATCCCCGGCCACCAGGCGAGGGTCCCACATGGCGCGCAGACCTCTCCTGCTGCCCACTGCTCCCCTCAGCAGTGTACTTCGTCACTCTGCCTGTTCTGCTCCCTGCTCTGGCTCTAGTGAATTCTCTCACCCTCCCACGCTTCTGACTGTACCCAGTGCTTATATAAATAAATAAATAAATCTTTAAAAAAAAAAAAAAAAAAAAAAGATCACAGAAATCCTATTATACAAATTGCAGAAAGTATCCTTAAAAGGTGCTTACATTAATGTAATTGAAGAACACCTGCTAAGCAAATATGGGATATGTTTTATCTCAGGTCATAAACAATTACTTACATAAGAAGTTTTCTCAAAGAAAATTTCTGGCTCTTAATATCATCTAAATATAAGAAACTGCAAAGCAGAATTACTTAAAATAGTATTAACTCTATTTAAAAAAAGTATTTTTATACAAGTGCTAGGGTACATGCCAGAGGCGCAGGAGGGTGAGAGGATTCACCAGCAACAGAGCAGGGAGCAGAACAGGCAAAAGGACTGAAATACACTGATGAGGGAGCAACGGGTGAGACAGGAGAGGTCTGCTGCGCCATGTGGGTTTCTTCCTGGCCAGCAGGGAATCGAACCCGCGATGCAGAGGCTGTGGACAGCTTCACAGCACTGCTCTCAACCTGCTGCACCACTGGGTAGGCCCAAAATAGTAATAATTCTTTTGTAGAAACTGCCACTGCTCTTGCACCACCAATTCAATCAAATCACTATTTTTTTTTAAAAAGATTTATTTATTTATTTATTTATTTATTTATTTATTTATGTATACAAGCACTGGGTACAGTCAGAAACGCTGAAGGGTAAGAGAATTCACCAGAGCCAGAGCGGGGAGCAGAACAGGCAGACTGACAAAGTACAATGCTGAGGGGAGCAGAGGGCGTGGCAGCAGAGGTCTGCGCGCCATGTGGAACCCTTACCGGCAGCCAGGGATGGAACCGGCGCTGCAGAGGCTGAAGGCAGCTTCGCAGCCAGTGTTCAACCGCTGCGCCACCGGGGAGGCCCCCGAAACAAATCACTATTTATTTTAAAGACTAATATATGCCAGAAGCATATCAGGGTAGAGTGATTCCTTACCTGGAGGAATTACAAGGAATATAGGACAGAAATCATTATCTACTTCATATAATATGATGTGTAGCAATACTAAAAAGTGAATAAAGTGCCAAGAAAATACAGCTCAGAAAAGAGTCAAGATTAAAGATGACAGATAAGCTGCTATGTGAGAACCATAACCACTAAAAGATAAACTATGTTTCAGAATGAGTTTAAAACAAAAAGGCTTAAGAAAAAACAAACAAACAAAAAAAAAAACTTGTTTTGCAAAGAAATGAGAAACAATCCAGGGCACACTAGCAAGTAAGAGTGGGAACAATGAAAAAGCTATATTTATATTGCATGGTAGAATTGCCTGACTCCTATATTGCATGGTAGAATTGCCTGACTCCTCACACTGCCTAGAGAATGCTCAAAGTTTTCTTCTGAGAGAGACAAATTCTGCTATAGGTTACAATGAGACATATAGGTTAAAAAATTTTTCAAGTAACAATTCCACGACAATTTTTAAAAGGCCTATGAACTGATAAATGCTAGGGAAATAAATACATCAAAAGATGCAAGGACTGCTACTGGAAACAGTATGAGCATTCTCAAAAGGTTATGGGGGGAAAAAAAAAGAACTACAGGGCTTTCCTGGTGGCGCAGGTGGTTAAGCACCGTGCTGTGAAGCTGTCCACAGCCTCTGCAGTGCCGGGTTCCATCCTCGCCGGCCATGGAGATACTCACATGGTGTGGCAGACCTCTCCTGTCTCAACTGCTGCTCCCCTCAGCAGTGTATTTTGTCAGTCTGCCTATTCTGTTCCCCACTCTGTCTCTGGCGTCCTCTCACCCTCCTGCACATCTGGCCTATACCCCGGTTCGTGTACAAATAAATAAATCTTTGGAAAAAAATTAAATTAAAAAAAAAAAAAAAAAAAAACTACAAACTGATCTTCCATATAACCCAGCAATTCCACTCCCATCGACCCAAAGAAAACAAAATTAGCAATTCAAAAGGCAACTTGCACTCTCATGGTTATTACAGCACTGTTTACAAAAGCCAAGACAGGGGAACAGCCTAAATGCCCCTAACACATGAATGGATTAAGATGTGGCGTGTGTGTACACCTACACACACAACACACGCACGCACGCACAAATAAATACTACTCAGCTATCAAAAAAAGATAAATTCTTTCCAGTTGTGGCAACATGGATGGAGTTGAAAGGGATAATGCTATGAGAAATCAGTCAGAAGGACAAATAATAAATGGTGTCACTTATATGTAGGATACAGAAAAACAAAACAAAGGTTCAGTTAAAGCCAAATTAGAACATTACCTGCTCCCCTCAGCAGTGTATTTCAGTCAATCTGCCTGTTCTGTTCCCCATTCTGTCTGGTGAATCCTCTCACACACCCCCACACCTCTGGCCTGTACCCAAGTTCTTGTATGCATAAATAAATAAATCTTAAAAAAAAAAAAAGGACATGCATACATATATTTGGGGAAACTCAATTTGGTGGACTTTACATTTGGAATAGAGACAACTTCTGAGAGCCTCCTGGATATCAAATCAGTGATTATTAGTGTTCTGGTACCCCATATCTCACTCAGCCTGTAAGTGGGAAGAGTAGCACATTTAAGTTAGGTGTAGGAACACTTGAAAAAGTTGTTATGACTTTCTTCACAAGGCTCTGGGGTAGCTCTGAAATTACTGAATCTCAACAGCAAGATTTAGATTAGAAATTAAAGAAATACTATAACTACCAATAGTATCTAAAGAAAATTAGATTTTTCTGGTTTTAATTTTTATGTCATAGTAATATTATGTTTAAAAAGATTTTTAAACTTTCCTAAAAGCATATGTGTACATAAGTAAGAATGCTTCTGGGCCTCGCCGGTGGTGCAGTGGTTGAGTGCTGGGTTGAGAAGCTGCCCGCAGCCTCTGCAGCGCCGGTTCGATCCCTGGCCACCGGCGAGTGTCCCACATGGCGTACAGACCTCTCCTGCTGCCCGCTGCTCCCCTCAGCAGTGTACTTCGGTCCTTCTGCCTGTTCTGCTCCCCGCTCTGGCTCTGGTGAATTCTCTCACCCTCCCATGCTTCTGACTGTACCCAGTGCTTGTATAAATAAATAAATAAATAAATAAATCTTTAAAAAAAAAAAAAAAAAAAAGAATGCTTCTGATATTCCTACCCTTCAAAGAAATACCATAAACCAAGATGTATTATGGGGACATGAAATGCCAATTTGGTAGCAGAGGAAAGGCAATATAAAAAGAAACTGCTGGGGAACCCTCCCTCCCCCTATCCCTCCCCCAGGAAACTCCCCTTCCCCCTCCCCCAACCCGGGTAGCGCAAAGGGTTGAGCGCAGCACTGTGAGGCTGGCTGCAGCCACTGCAGTGAGAGTTCGATCCCTGGCCCACCAGGGAGCAACCCACATGGCGCAGCAGACCTCTCCTGACTCACCTGCTGCGTCCCTCAGCAGTGTATTTCAGTCTATCTGCCTGTTCTGTTCCCTGCTCTGTCTGTGGTGAATAATCTCACCTCCTGCAATGCTGGCCTGTACCCCAGTTCTTGTATACATAAATGAATAAGTCTTTAAAAAAAAAAAAAAAAAAGAAACTGCTGGAAAGTAGATCTTTACAGCCCAGTCAACAGCCAGAAATTTACAAATTATCACATCAATGAATTTTGGAGTTTATAATTTTTTGACTTAAACTATAATCTCTGCAAAATGACAAAATATTGACAACCCTGAATTTATTATCTACTTAATATATAATAAATTATTAAGTATTACCTACCATTTATTAAGTATCTACTTCAGGCTGGGCACTGTGCAAAGGACTTTAAAGTCTCATTAAACACCTACAATAATCTATTCAACAGAAACCAAAATCCCTCCAAGTTTAGATTTACTAAGGTAAACCGAGCATTTTGAATATTGCATTATGTTTACAGCACTTTCCAAAACATCAAATAGTCATGGTCATAGGTTCATGTCTTTGATGAGTCATTTGATTAAAAATGAGACAACTGGTAAAAACTGAGACAATGACCCTAACAATGGCAAATAAAATTTCTTAAATTCCTTACCAATCACGTTTCTTGACATATACTTTGATACAGGAAAAAAGATGGGTTCAAGCTACCTTTGTATAAATATAAGATGCTCATCAAATAACATCCTGAAACAAGTAAAATTATTAAAGACTTCTAATCAATATAAAGATGGACCTCCTTTCAGCAAAATGTCTAATGTAAATGTAAAAATATGAAAGTCCTTTATAGCTTGTTTAATGCCTTCTGAATCATGCTGCAGCGCTTACCCTTTCTTCCCACTCTTCTTCCGTGATTCTGTGGGTGTGGGAGGTGGAGGAGAAGGTGAATGTTTCCTCTTTCGAGCATTAGCTGATGCTTTTCTATCTCTTCTTTCTGGACTTCTGACTGGCTAGGAAGAAGTAAATGGAAATAAGTATCAGTCAGGCTTTGCTGACTCCTTAGTTTCTGTAAGGTAGAAAATATCAAGGTGAGTTTTCATGAAGATAGTAACAAACCCACTAGATTGAGAGCACACGTTAATCATCTTGGATCACCAGCAGTCAAAAGACTTTCCCTGAACTTGCAGGTAACATACCAATGGAAATATAAGCACCACCCCACAGGTAGTCAAACTATGTTATAAAACAGACAGATTCAAACCTGTACACCTAAAAACTGTTCCTCACCACATTCTGTATTCCCAGGGTGGGAAAAGTAATTTTTAATAACTACCAGGAGGGTGTAAAACACATACTATTAAATTAATAAAATACAAAGGTTGAATGAGCTTGTGACTATATACCAGAAACTATTAATAATTCATCAGTTAAAAAAAATAAAAGGGATAAATTTATGATGCAAAAGATAAAAATAAGATTACATTTTATGATTTGAAAGTCAACCTATCCCTAAAACTATCACCATCGACAGATAACATGATTTTATTTATAGACAGTCTATGAGTCAAAAGAGTTGGATGATGCCTATCGTTATAAAAGTCAAACTCCAGGGCCTCCCCGGTGGCGCAGTGGTTGAGCGCTGGGCTGCGAAACTGCCCATAGCCTCTGCATTGCCAGTTCGATCCCCGGCCACCAGCAAGAGTCCCACAGGTGGGCAGACCTCTCCTGCCGCGCCTGCTGCTCTCCTCAGCAGTGTACTTCGTCAGTCTGCCTGTTCTGCTCCCCGCTCTGGCTCTGGTGAATCCTCTCACCCTCCCGCGCTTCTAACTGTATCCTGGTTATTGCATAAATAAATAAATAAATCTTAAAAAAAAAAAAAAAAAAAGTCAACCTCCACATAGTAATGAGCAACTTAATAAAAGACAATAAAGAAAAAGCAAACACCTAAGTTAATTTTTAAAAAAATCACAGATTGGGGGCCTCCCTGGTGGCGCAGTGGTTGAGCGCTGGGCTGCGAAGCTGCCTGCAGTCTCTGTAGCACCAGTTCGATCCCCAGCCAATGACAAGGGTCCCACTTGGCGCGCAGACCTCTCCTGCCGCGCCCACTGCTCCCCTCAGCAGTGTATTTCGTCAGTCTGCCTGTTCTGTTCCCTGCTCTGTCTCTGGTGAATCCTCTCACCCTCCCGTGCTTCTGACTGTACCCAGCGCTTGTATAAATAAATAGATAAATCTTAAAAAAAAAATCACAGATTAAAACATTAATTCAACAATAATCTGTTGGTATGCTCATACTCCTCACAACTGTCTCTTTTTAGTAGCTCTGTAGCATCAAACTGGGAATCTGAGATTTTTATAGGTCTACAAGAGAGATTTTAATAGAAAATCTAAATTATACACACCTTTAATTGGTATAGTAACATTTTAAAATGAAATTTTCTTTCTCTCTTTTTTTTTTTTTTGGTGGGACCCTCGCCAGTAGCCGGGAATCGAACTGGCGCTGCAGAGGTTGCGCCACTAGGGGAGGCCCTGAAAATTAAATTTTCAAAAGGGATATTAAATTTTTATGTAATCCCCTGAAAAATATGTGAATATATAAATCTGAACAGGAGTGGATATGAACAGGCCCATTTAATAACATGATAAGGAAATCAGAATATTCCTAACAACACAAAAAACTTGGTTTGAAATGCATTAGAGGAAAACAAATATATAATAATCGTTAACAGCCACAGAAAGCTAAAACTTAAAAAAAAAAAAAAATTACTCAAATACCAAAGCAAATAGAAGCAAAATAAAAATGAAAGAATATGGGGGGGAACGGGACACCCATTTTAAAATATTACTCTTAACACACAAGACAATAATGTTTAAGTAAGAAAGTCAGATCACAGGGCTGAAAATAGGTATGAAATAATTGTAATGGCTAAAAGTTTATCTATTTCAAAAATTTTTCAGAAAATAAAAATACCAAATAAAACTTCAAACATTAAATATTCCCAGTGAAAAGAACTTTTAAATCACAGGTCTCTACCTAAAACTATAACAAACACAACATTTCTTCTCAGGCTTAGATCTTCCTGCAGACACACCTATCTCAGAAGTTGTAGCTTATAATGCTTATAATGATTGCACTTTTTAAAAAATTTAATATAGGATTTTTTTTAATTTTCTTACATCATTGTTCATTTTTTTTTTTTTTTTTTTAATAGAGGCATGCTTTATTTATTGTTTGCTGGTTTGTTTGTTTTTGTTTATACATGCACTGGGTACAGTCAGAAGTGCAGAAGGGTGAGAGAATTCACCAGAGCCAGAGCGGGGAGCAGAGCAGGCAGAAGGACCGAAGTACACTGCTGAGGGAAGCAGCGGGCGGCAGGAGAGGTCTGCGCGCCATGTGGGACCCTCCTCCGGTGGCCGGGGAGCAGCCGGGGATCGAACCGGCGCCGCAGCGCGGGCAGCTTCGCAACCCAGCGCTCAACCGCTGCGCCACCGGGGAGGCCCTCATTGTTCATTTTTGATAAAGTATTTGATCTCTCCCTCAAGTGTAGTCCCAATAATTCTCCCACCATCACAGCACCTGAGAACTGTAACCAGTCTCTTGTGTTCTTCCCTTCTCTGTTTGACCCCTCAATCTCACCCTCCCCTGCTATATGCCTCACATCTATGGTTCGCCTGCAAGTTTTGTCTTTTTCCTGACCTTTTTTTCAGTTTCCCTCTTTTCCACCTACACATGAAACCATCTGTTACTTTTCTTTTTCCTTCTGACTTATTATGCTTAGCACAAAACCCTTCCAGCTCCATCCATGTTGCTGCAAAAGGCATGAGTTTATCTTTTTTGATCTGAGTAATAATCCATTAGGAATATATACCACATCTTCTTTATTCATTCATCTGTTGTGGAGCATTTAGGCTGTTTCCATATCTTAGCTATTGTTAAGTATTTGCACTTCCTAAGGCATTTAAAGAATATTTAAGTATCTCAAAAAAAAGGACTATTTTAAGTGAAACCTATAATGGCTTGTAATTTGTACTAAATTTTTTTTTCATTACCAAAACTATTAACAAATATTAAAACTAAATGGAAAAAAAACCCAACTAAATGAGTTTTCCCTTGGAAAAAACAACTACTTAATTAAATTATTCTGTGGTATTTGGGTATACAAAATTAAAATTCATATCTAGTGAACAAAATCAGCTGCACTAATGCCATACTACAGGGGTGACTTTAAATCTTAATGACCATTTGAGGTTTTCACTATCCCTTTTTGGAAGATGCCAGCTCCGCAGAGGGCTGCTAAAAGTAGTAACTGTTATAACTATGTGATGACCGTTGCACTTTGGTTTATTGGTGACAGCTTATTAACAAAGATTTGATATCAATAAGGTCAAGAAAGAAGAAAGACCCAATGGAGAAAAATGGTGTCAACCCAAATACCTCTTCATTCTTTGTTGAAATTCGCTGACGAAAACTCACAGGCTTTCTGTTCTCATCCACCTCATAATCCTCCTCATTCATCCATTCATTGAAAACATCAGTGTCCAAAATCCATTTCGCATGAACCTAAAGTCATATAAAAACATATTATAAAAAAATTAGAATCTACATAATAAAATCACTTGACAGTATTTAAAAGAATTAAAAAGCTTTAAAAGTATTTGAAAGAAGCTAATTTATTTTGCTCACGTCCACAATTAGAACAAATTAAAAATATAACACTAACGTATTTCGTCATTCTGCCTGTTCTGCTCCCCTCTCTGGCTCTGGTGAATTCTCTCACCCTCCCGCGCTTCTGACTGTACCCAGAGCTTGTATAAATAAATAAATAAAAATCTTAAAAACAAACACTAACAATTACATGAGTGGTAGGTAATGTAACAATTTCTACTTTTTATTGTCTTTTATTGAATAAATAGGATAGGAAAGCGCCATTGCTTTTGTGAAGACTGAGGTTCTGATATCTAAGACCCTTAAATTTTTCTTTTTTTTTAAAAAGATTTATTTATTTATTTATTTATTTATTTATGCAAGCACTGGGTACAGTCAGAAGCGCAGGAGGGTGAGAGAATTCATCAGAGCCAGAGCGGGGAACAGAGCAGGCAGAAGGACCGAAGTACACTGCTGAGGGGAGCAGCGGGCAGCAGAAGAGGTCTGCGCGCCATGTGGGACCCTCCTCTGGTGGCCCGGGAGCAGCCGGGGATTGAACCGGCGCTGCAGAGGCTGTGGGCAGCTTCGCAACCCAGCGCTCAACCACTGAGCCACCAGGGAGGCCCTAAGACCCTTAAATTTAATAATCATGTCACTTTAATTTCAGCTATATTAAGGTATAATTGACAAATACAATTATAAGATATTTATACACTGTGGTGATTTGCTCTAAGTACACATCCAGTTAACCAACATACCCATCATCTCAAATATTTATCCTATCAGCAAGCTTCAACTACACAATAAAGTGTTTTCAATTACAATCATATTTTACATTAGATCACTAGACCTCATTCATCTTATAGCTAAAAGTTTAAATTCTTTTACCAACCTCTCCTATTTACACATCATCTCCGGATACTACTTTTCTATTTTGTTTAAAAGAATGTGAGAGGAAGAGAGGGAGTGCGCGCATGCGCGTGAGAGAGAGAAAGAGAGAGAGAGTGAGTTTGTGTATTTTAAAAAAAAATTCCATTTTTAATTTTTTTTAAAGATTCCATGTATCAGTGATAGTGTGTAGTATTTGTCTTTCTCTGTAAGACCAATTTCACTAATCATGCCAACTTTCTTTATGAAAATCACTAATTAAAAGTAATATTCAAGGGCCCCCTTGGTGGCGCAAAGGGTTAAGAGGCAACCTATGAAACTAACTGGAGCCTTTGCAGCATGAGTTCAAACCTGGCCAGGGAACAACCCAGATGGCGCAGCAGACCTCTCCTGAATTGCCCGCTGCTCCCCTTAGCAGTGTAGTTCAGTCAATCTGCCTGTTCTGTTCCCCACTCTGTCTCTGGTGAATCCTCTTACACCCACACCCCAGCTCTGGCCTACACCCCAACTCTTGTATGTATAAATAATCTTTAAAAAAAAGGGAGCCTCGGGCCTCCCCGGTGGCGCAGCGGTTGAGCGCTGGGTTGCGAAGCTGCCCGTGGCCTCAGTGGCGCCGGTTCGATCCCCGGCTGCTTCCCGGCCACAGGAGGAGGATCCCACATGGCGCGCAGACCTCTCCTGCCGCCCGCTGCTCCCCTCAGCAGCGTACTTCGGTCCCTCTGCCTGCTCTGCTCCCTGCTCCCTGCTCTGGCTCTGGTGAATTCTCTCACCCTCCCGCGCTTCTGACTGTACCCAGTGCATGTATAAACAAAACAAACAAACAAATAAATCATGCCTCTATTAAAAAAAAAAAAAAATTTTAAAAAAAAATTAAAAAAAAAAAAAAAAAAAGGGAGCCTCTCTGGTGGCACAAGGGGTTAATATGCAACCGATGAAGCTAACAGCAGTGTCTGCAGCACGAGCGAGTTCAACCTCTAGCCAGAGAGCAACCCACATGGAGCAGCAGACCTCTCCTGACTCGCCCGCTGCTCCACTCAGCAGTGTATTTTAGTCAATCTGCCTGTTCTGTTTCCCACTCTGTCTCTGGTGAATCCTCTCACCCTCCCACACCTCTGGTCTCTACCCCAGTTATTGTATAAAAAAAAAAAAAAAACTTTAAAAAAATTAATAAATAGGGCCTCCCAGGTGGCGCAGCGGGTTGAGCACAGTGCTGTGAAGCTGTCCACAGCCTCTGCAGTGCGAGTTCGATTCCCGGCCGGCCAGGGAGATTCCCACATGGCGCAGCAGATCTCTCCTGTTGCGCCTGCTTCTCCCCTCAGCAGTGCTTTTGGTCAGTCTGCCTGTTCTGTTCCCCACTCTGTCTCTCGTGAATCCTCTCACCCTTCTACGCCTCTGGCCTGTACCCCAGCTATTATATAAATTTAAAAAAAAAATCTTTATAAAAATAAATAAATAAATAAAAGTAATATTCAAGAGCAAAGGGCCAAAGATAGTCATTAATTTATTTTTTAATTTTTTAAAAAGATTTATTTATTTATACAAGCACTGGGTACAGTCAGAAGCACGGGAGGGTGAGAGAATTCATCAGAGCCAGAGCAAGAGCAGAACAGGCAGAAGGACCGAAGTACACTGCTAAGGGGAGCAGCGGGCGGCAGGGGAGGTCTGCGCGCTATGTGGGACCTTCACCTGGCAGCTGGGGATCGAACTAGCACTGCAGAGGCTGCGGGCAGCTTCGCAACCCATCGCTCAACCGCTGCACCACCAGGGAGGCCCGATAGTCATTACTTTAGGCATGAAGGATGTCTCTAGGCTCATTCATTCTATAACACTCTTAAATAATGATAAATAGAACATTACAGAGAACTATCACCCAGCCCTGTAAATTATACATGGCTATGCATATCTCTCAGGCACAGACAGGGCTGCGGTGAAAGTGGAGAAATAAGAATCAGATTCTAGCTTCTTCCCAGCCCTTTCCATAGTCACTTCTCTTTGTTATTTTATTAATGTTTCTGAGTAAGAATTAATAAAATGAAAGGTTCCCTAGGTGTCATATAAATACACATGTAGGTAAAGGTAGATATTTAAACAACTGACCTAGCCTATATAATATTTTCTTTTCTCCAAAAGCATGCCCAAGAGGAGTATACTGAAATATGGGACTAGACAATTCTTCATTGACCAGAAATGCTGTTCACATTTCAAATCATGGTATTTGTGTTTCAGACAGAGCATATGGCTATACTCTCATGACGTGTTAGCTGCAATATTATAAGGAGAACAAAGAAAATAGCAGCTACACCTGTGAAGCCTTCCTAGAAGCAAAAACAATATATAATATGGCAAGCACAAGGTAATATGGACGTCCTAATAAAACTATTTATCATGTAAGCTCATCATTGCCCTTAAAAAAAAGTGGGGAGTAGGATGGTGTTACTACATTGGTTGCTCAGGTTATGATGGAATCATATCTTGATTTAGGAATGAAATATGGGACTATGTTTCTTCTCCTCCCCAAACTGTAGTTACACAGTAACACAATTAACACCCTGTCAAAGAGAAAATTAAGCCTTAAATAATGTAACCTGAAAAGACTTTTGTATAAACTATGGGGAGGGGTATAAATAGAACACCCAAGAAACCTAATCAGAGAAATAAAATCTATTTATAGATATGAATGTCAAAGAAAAGGGTAAAATAACTTATTGGTATTTTAGAAAATATGTCATAGCATTTGAAAGCAGAACAGTGTTTTCCTAAGTGTGTACATATAGTAGAAGTAGAGATGTGCATTTTTTACTATCCAGAAAACCCTGACAGGAATCTCTTAAGAAAACATGTCAGTAGTATAGAACAATAAAAAAGTGTTTGGGCCAGGCACTTTGTTATACCTTACATGTATGATCTCATTTAATAGTCCTACCCAGAATAAAGCAATGTAGATTCTCCTATAAAGTCTATTTAATCTCGGCGCTGGAAGGGATCATGCTCAGTGAAATAAAGTCTATTTAATCTCAACTATAATTCCAATGAGTACACTTGTTTTACATGGACCTCAAAAAGGCAACTGTAATATTTAGATAACAGAACAGAAGAGACCCAAGACCCAGGAGACACTTAAAGAAGAAAAAAGCAAAGAGTATTCAAACAGGTACAAACAGCAATTAATAGAGTCTGAAAAAAAAAAAAAAAAATAGAGTCTGAAAACAATAACTACACATATAAAAAAATTACTTTGACAGAAAGGGTACAGATCAGCACAAAGAACATTTGTCCTTCAAGGTATAGTTTACATACCATCACAAAGGGAAAAAAAATTATCCTACATGGTAACGTTTTAAAATTTGTTTCGGGCCTCCCTGGTGGCCAAGGAGTTAAGCACTGCACTATGAAGCAATCCACAGCCCCTGGAGCACAAGTTCGATCCCCGGCCGGCCAGGGAACAACCCACATGGCAAAGCAGACCTCTCCTATCTTGCCCGCTGCTCCCCTCAGCAGTGTATTTCAGTCAGTATGCCTGTTCTGTTCCCTACTCTGTCTCTGGTGAATCCTCTCACTCCACCACACCTCTGGCCTGTACCCAACTCTTACATGCATAAATAAATAAATCTTCAAAAAAAAAAATTGTTTCCAGGGCCACCCTGGTGGCACAAGGGGTTAAGATGCAACCTATGAAGCTATCTGCAGCCACTGCAGCACGAGTTTGATCCCCGGCCAAGAAGCTACCCACATGGCACAGCAGACCTCCCCTGACTCGCCTACTGCTCCCCTCAGCAGTGTATTTCAGTCAATCTGCTTGTTCTGTTCCCCACTCTGTCTCTGCTGAATCCTCAAGCCTCCCACAACTCTGGCCCGTACCCCAGTTCTAGTATGCATAAATAAATACATCTTTTTTTAAAAAATGAAATGTTACCAAAGAGATTAAACATCAATATGAAAGGCAAAACCAAGAAAGATTATTACAAGTAAAAGCAATGAATACACATGAAAAACTTTTTAAAAAGCAAACAGCTGCATTTCTTAACAGAAAGAAACATAGGAACAAACCAGATATGTTCTACAAGGAATGGGGAGACGGGACTAGAAGGAAAGCAGAAGGAAGCGTACATATTTGGGAAGTATATTAGAAAGTTATGTATTCAAAATATAAAATTAATCAACTTGGATGGGAGGTGGTAAAGAAAACACTAAGAGTGAAAGCAAACGGAAAGAAATAAACCCAAGGATACATCAAGTAGTAACTTCACTGAATGAGTATAGGGAGTTCACCCAGATAAACACATTATTTGCATATATACTCTCAATCTTGGGCACAGTATGAGGTTGGAAGAATTGCAAACATATCTTATACTTCTTTTTAGTAGCAGTTCTGAAAATAAATTGAATGTATTAAAGGACTCAATAAATGTTGATGTTGGGAGTCAGGTTTCTTACTGTGGGAGAAGAGAAACACAAATATGGTATAGGAGAGGGCAAAAGAACACTATGGGGATTGGAACGAGAGCTATATATATAGTCTCATTTCTAAAATACATTTATTATGTGTAGGCACATTATGTATACATGAATACTCATGTTTTCACATACATAAGAGCTATATGCTTTGGCTATCTCCATACAAAAAAGGCTTAGGAAAAAAGACACTTCAATAAGTATGCCTGTTACCAGATCTTGAGCTCTAATATCTTTTCCTACTAAAAAGAAATACAGCTCCTTGAAGAAACAACTGATTCTTGTTATGAAGAATGGAAGGCACAAGGTGAGCCCAGACCATCCTATTATAGGAGGAACTCAAAGCTGATGCATTCTTATCACAAGGGCACACAAATCAACTTGAAGGGGAACCTACTGGCCAAATATGGAAAAATTTCAGCTCCAAAATAATTAAGAAATGAATTATAAACCACTGAAAATTAGAAATCCATGAACCCACTCTGACAAAAGATAGATGGATAAATAAGTAAATGAGGAGAAATGAAGGGCTCTTGCTTATAGAACTCTGAAAGCCAACTGTGCTTTCAAATGTGGAGGGAGGGTTGTAGTGGAAAATTATCGCTGTGTAATCATCAAAAAAAAGATTGGTTCAAGCAAGAATTATAAATGGATGCTAAATCTGGGTGACAGAAGGGAAGATTTTGATGAGAAGTAGAATATCTCCAAGATCTAAAAGAATCTTTCACAAATTGCTTATAAGTTGCCAATGGGGAGTAAAAGCTAACTACAGAGTGGAGCCACCAGAGAACACCTTAACCAGTGATTAACATCACCAAGGAGGAGCAGATGGACACAGCATGTCTCCCAACATGATGCCCTGAGAAGAACAACATTAACTTATGCAGTTTGATGCCTGAAATTCACTATGAGAAAAGAAAAAATTCCAAAAAGAGAAATATTTTTAAAAATCAAAAACATCATGAAAGGCAAGAAACACTTACATTACAGGTTAAAAGAAACTAGAAAGACATGACAGATGAATTCAACAGCTGATATTAGGTAGGATTCTGTACTAGAGAGAAAAAAATGCTATAAAAAATGGTATTGGGTCAGGGGCAAAAAGAGAATATGAACAGTACTGTGTCAATATGAATTTTAACTGGATAACTGTACCATACTTTACATATGAGAATTTCTTCTTCTTAGGAAACAATGTTTGGGGTAAAAAAAGTCCAAAATACTTCCCACTGTTATTTCAAATTGTTCACTACACACACACAGAGACAGAGTTTATAAACACAAAGAATGAATGAAAAATCAAAAGGCAAGTAAAATATTGACATGTAGACAAAGGGTGTACAAGTGTTCCATTAATATTTTTCTTTAAAGATTTATTTATGAATACAAGAACTGAGGTACAGGCCAGAGTTGTGAGGGATGAAAGGATTTACCAGAGACAGAATGGGGAGCAGAACAGGTGGATTGACTAAAATACATTGCTAAGGAAGTAGCTGGCAAGAAAGGAGAGGTCTGCTGTTCCATGGGGGTTCCCCCCTGGCTGGGGACTGAACTTGTGCTGCAGTGGATTGCTTCACAGTGTTAACGCTTAACCTCCTGCGTCACCAGGGAGACCCCCTATTACTATTCTTATTCTTGCAACTTAAAGTTGCAAGTTTAAGTTTGAAATTATTTCCAGATAATGATTTTTCCCCAAAAAAGACTAATTTTTGTTAATCCCATTTTCCTCATATGGAATCTGAAGTTCAAACACTAAGTCTTTCTGAAGCTCATACAAGTAGAAAATGGTTGAACCATGTTTAAAATCTAATATATTGATGCAATTTAAGTGGTCATTATATCATATAAAGCAGCTAATAAAAAATCATGTATAAATACTACTACTGCCCATGAAAAGATTCAGAGCTCCCCGTGGAAATAAAGTTCTAGGGCAGGGATAGAGAAATTACCAAGAGTTTGGAACACTGGGACACTGGAACATCTTTTTGTCCCATAAACTCCAAAATATGCAAAAATAATGCCAAAAGATCACAAGAGCCAACTTAAAGGAGTTTCCAATGGCCAAATTTCAGGTTAATTTATCAAAATGAAGAATGGATGTAATGTCACTGCTCCATGAGTACATACTGACACTACAGACACATGTGAAAAAAGGAAGTTCATTCCTATAGCAAAATGCCAATACTGTACCAATAGAATGGATAGTTAGAAAACCACCAGCAATCACTAATTCATAAATAAATCTTTAAAAAAAGAAAAAAACAAAGTAGACTAAATATATCTGACAACTAAACAGTGTACAACTCTGAAATACATCTTAGGTCAATGAAAAAACTTACTATAATACGGGAACTGATGAAATATGGGTCCTGTATCAGGCAACAATATTGTTTCAGGAATTAATTCCCTGAAATAGTTTTAAAAAGGGTAATCTAGAAGTGTAAGTGAGTACTCTTGTATTATTCTTCTAACTTTCACAATTATTTCTACACTAAAAGTTTAAAATTTAAAATGGCCTTTTACCATCATAAAAGAAATGATAAGTATAGTAATCAAATCCAGTCTCCTAAATGACACCATCAATGAGGTCAACTCCAGCCCTCATATGCCTCTCTTAACTATCAAACCACAATCTAACTTAGCTTTGGGGTCTCCTCAAACATGCCTGCAAGCCATTTTATTAAGACCTATGTAATGAGGTCTCAATGGCCATGAGAATCGCTTAATAAAGATTACAAAGAAAGGGGCCTCCCTGGTGGCACAAGGAGTTAAGACACAACCTATGAAGCTGTCAGCAGCCACTGAAGCACGAGTTTGATCCCTGGCCAGGTAGCTACCCACGTGGTGCAGCAGACCTCTCCTGTCTCACCCACTGCTCCCCTCAGCAGTGTATTTCAGTCTGTCTGTTCTGTTCCCCACTCTGTCTCTGGCGAATCCTCTCAAACCCCCCCCCCACATCTCTGGACCGTACCCCAGCTCTTGTATGCATAAATCAATAAATCTTTAAAAAAAAAATTACAAGAAAGGAAGATCATCATTGGATATCTCAAAACATTGTCATGGCAAGTAGTAGAGGAGTATTAAATTATGCACAAATAAATTCTTTTTAAAAAGGATCTTTCGGGCCTCCCCGGTGGCGCAGCAGTTGAGCGCTGGGTTGTGAAGCTGCCCACAGCCTCTGCAGCGCCGGTTCAATCCCCGGCTGCTCCCCGGCAACCGGAGGAGGGTCCCGCATGGCGCACAGACCTCTCCTGCCGCCCGCTGCTCCCCTCAGCAGTGTACTTCGGTCCTTCTGCCTGCTCTGCTCCTGGCTCTGGCTCTGGTGAATTCTATCACCCTCCTGCGCTTCTGACTGTGCCCAGTGCTTGTATAAATAAAAATAAATAAACCTTTAGAATAAAAAATAAATAAAAATAAAAAAATAAAAAGGACTTTCACCTTCCACGGTTTTTCTGGAATTGGTGGATCTTCGATTTCTGCATCAACATCATTACTGTGGACCCAAGTATCATAACTATAAGGAAATGAAAACAGGAAAAACAAGTTAGAACTGTTTTATCAAAAAGTAAAAATACATTTCAGGAATACAACTAGGATCTAGTTATAGCAATTTATCATAAACTTTTGTCTCAATTGTGGACAAAAAAATTCTTCTGAAGAGGTCACAAATAATAATCTTCACACTGTTAACCCTAAAGTTGAAAATTCAGTCCACATTCACAAAATTCAAAAAACTGAATATTCTCTCCTCAAAGAGTATCCCATCAAGGCAATATTCCTTCTTGTTATCAGCCTCTCCTTAGTCTCCATAGCCAGTTTCTCTTCTCCCAAATCTCCAACATTGGAGGCCTCAGGTCTCAGCTTTTGGAAGAGTTCCTTCCTCCTCTCTATTCATTCTCTTGAAGAGCTCGTACAGTTCTTTGGCTTCAAATATCTAACAATAATAGAAATCTTCTATCTCTGTTCTTTTCTGAATCATGGACTTAAGAATCCAACTATTAATTCCATTATCTCCTCTGACATGTTTAATAAGGTTTTCAAATCTGTCACACTCAAACTTCAATATATAATGCCATCCCAACCCCAACAATGTGGCTAGTCAATCATCCCCATCTCAGTAAATGCCAATTCTGTCTTTCCAGTTATTTGGGCCCAAATCCTTGGAAACATCATCGACTTCACTCTCAATCACATTCTATAACAAGACCATCCACAATTTCTACTAGCTCCATTTTCAAAACATGTCCAAAACTTTTTTTTAAGATTTATTTATTTATTTATACAAGAAATGGGGTATAGGCCAGATGCACAGGAGGGTGAGAGGATTCACCAGAGACAGAGCGGGGAACAGAACAGGCAGGCTGATGAAAATACACTGCTGAGGGGAGCAGCAAGCAAGGCAGGAAAGGACAGCAGCACCATGTGGGACCCTCGCCGGCCGGCTGGGATCAAACCAGCACTGCAGAGGCTGCGGACAGCTTCACACCACTGCACTCAACCACCTGCGCCACCAGGGGAGGCCCAACATGTCCAGAATTTTTCACACATAGTGACCCTTTTGAAAACTAAGTCAGTCCACATCACTCCACTATTAAAAACTTCCAACTACTCTCACCTACATCAGAGAGAAAAATCAAAACCTTTACAGTGGCTTACGAAGGCCTTGCAATCTGGTCCTGTGACTGCTACTCTGATCCTATCTCCTTAAACATTTCCCACACAGGCTTTAGAAACATTCTTCAAATATACCAAATAGTGGCCACTTTATGCCCTTTATATATGCTCCTGACTACTTAGATATCCATTAAATCAATCCCTTATATCATCTTCACTTTAGTCTTTGCTGAAAGATTACCTTATCAGTGAGATTCACCCCATTCCTCTACAATTAACTTACCTACCAATTTAAAACTTAGTTAATGCTACTATGATTGGCCAAAATTAGTAACCAAATCTAGTAATATTTAAATGAAATACACATATGGTGACAAGAATTGGGTTCTTTTAGCAATTACACAGAAGTTGGTTCAAAAGCATTTGAAGCAAGCATTTGAACATGTGTTTCAAAAAACACATGTGAACTAGAGAAAGAAGTTTCTTTGCCAACTAATTAACTCTACCAGGTAAAGCAGTATAATAGTGAGAAAAAAATTATTTTTTTGAAAGACATTTTTAAAAAAGATTTTTAAAATTTATTTATGCATATAAAACTAGGTTATAGGCCAAAGGTGTGGGAGGTGAAAGGATTCACCAGAGACAGAGTAGGGAGCAGAACAGGTAGATCTATTGAAATACACTGCTGAGGAGAGCAGCGGGCGAGACAGGATAGGTCTGCTGTGCCATGTGGGTTAGCTCCCTGCCTGGGGATCAAACTTGTGCCACAGAGCTGCCAATCACTTCATAGTGCTGAGACTTTAACCCCCTGGCCACTAGGGAGGCCCCAAGAAAAAAATTTAAATCATATTCTTTTTAAAAGTCTTCAACAGAAAATGTTACGTTCTTATTAGAAGTGAATGCACAAACTATAGTTAATAAAGAAAGTGAATTAACAAAGAAGCCCTTTGAGAAGATAAGAACAGAGTTAGGCACTACTTCTTATATAGGCTAACATGTCTTACAATGTATTATAGAATTTATTTCAATGCTAATATTGTAGTTTGATAAATCTGAGTTTCCAGCTAAGTGTTTCGAAGGACAAACTAGTTTCTTATAGTAGTTCCTATATTATTGAATGGTTTGTTTTTTAAAGATTTATTTTTATTTATTTATGCATACAAACTTGCATACATACAAACATGCATACATACTGGCCTACATACTTCTGGTGTGTAGGCCAGAAGTGCAGGAGGTGAGAGGAGTCACCAGAGTGGGGAGCAGAACAGGTGGCTCTACTAAAATATACTGCTGAGGGGAGCAGCAGGTGAGACAGGAGAGGTCTGTTGCATCAAGTGGGCTAGTTCCCTGGCTGGAGGTGGGAGATAAAACTCATGCTGCAGTGGCTGGTGATAGCTTGATAGTACTGAGACTTTAACTTGTGCACCACCAGAGAGGCCCTGAATGGTTTGTTTTAATGGTGCCAAAACCTACTTGAAACCTTGAGATTAGAAATGTTTTATAAAAAGTTTCATTTAAATGTTTTTATTTTGGGGGGCCTCCCTGCTGGTGCAAGGGGTAAGATGCAACCTATGAAGCAATATGCAGCCTCTGCAGCACGAGTTCGATCCCAGCCAGGGAGCTACCCACATGGTGCAGCAGACCTCTCCTGACTTGCCTGCTACTCAATCTGCCTGTTCTGTTCCCCGTTCTGTCTCTGGTGAATCCTCTCACCCCTACCCCGAACTTCTGGTCTGTACCCCAGTTCTTGTATGCATAAATAAATAAATCTTTAAAAAAAAAGTTATTTTTTTTAACTGTTAGTTCATCTGAGGTTGCAAATTATGTCTCAAAAGAAGCTGATTAGCAAATAGATTTAGGTCCGATTTGGGTCTAACTCAGCTTGTACTAAGACTGCGCACATACTCCTAAAATTTTGAACATATCTAAAAACGTATTTCCTTCATTAGAAATAAATATTTTTTTAAACAAGAACTTTTTTTTTAAGGATTTATTTTTTATTTATACACTAGCTGAGGTACAGGCCCGAGGCACGAGAGTGTGAGAGGATTCACTAGAGACAGACTGGGGAGCAAAACAGGCAGACAGACCAAAAGCACTACTGAGGGGAACAGCAGGCACAACAGGAGAGGTCTGCCACGCCATGTGGGAATCTCCCTGATTGGCTGGGAATCGAACCCATGCTACAGAGACTGCAGACAGCTTCACAGAACTGTGCTCAACCTGTTGCGCCACGGGGAAGTCCAATTAGAAATAAATATTTACAGGGCCTCCGTGGTGGTGCAAGGGGTTAAGACGCAACTTATGAAGCTCTCCGCAGCCACTGCAGCACCAGTTCCATCCCCAGCCAGGGAGCTACCCACATGGCGCAGCAGACCTTCCTTTCTCGCCCGCTGCTCCCCTCAGCAGTGTATTTCAGTCAGTCCGCCTGTTCTGTTCCCCACTCTGTCTCTGGTATATCCTCTCACCCCCTGCACCTCTGGCCTGTACCCTAGTTCTTGTATGTATAAATAAAGAAATCTTTAAAAAAAACAAAAAAAAAACATACAAATAAAGTTATTCAGAGAACTTAAAACCTATGCACAACCAAAACTGGTCCAACCACTATGGAGAGCTGTGTGGAGATTTCTGGACCTACTAAACAGAGCTTCCATATGATCCAGCAATCCCACTCCTAGGTATTTACCCAAAGGACACAGAAACATCAATTCCAAAGAGCACCTGCACTCCTATGTTTATAGCAGCACTCTTTACAATAGCTAAGCTTTGGAAACAACCCAAATGCCAAAAATTAGATGACTAGATCAAGAAGATGTGGTACATATACACCATGGAATATTACTCAGCGTTCAAAAAAGATAAACACATGCAATTTGCATCAACATGGATGGCGCTGGAAGGGATCATGCTCAGCAAAATAAGCCAGAAAGAAAAAGAAAAATACCGGATGGTCTCACTCATAGCAGGAATCTAGAAAACTTAAAAAAGGGACCAGGAAAATGAATAACTATAAGAAAGTGAAAATCAAAATCAACAAACAACTATGAACCAAAGACACTCTATGGGGAGGTGGGGGGCGGGGAGAGGAGGGATTGGGGTCAAAATAAGGGGGTTGCAATTGTATGGGGAATATAAAAATAAAATTTATTTTTAAAAAATGGATTAAAAAAAAAACCTATGCACAACCAGACATCATAGGAATCAGATCAACTCTAGATCCAACTACCAATTTGAAGGAAATACAGAGAACAGAGAAACATATTCAAATACATAAAAAAAAAAATTCTACAGCGTGATAAATACTACCGGACAAACTGGCTTCTTAAATAATACATTGCAAGATGGGATAGGGAAGAGAGAACTTATATTTTCAAGAAGTCTTAAGAAAGACATCACAACTAATCATAAGATGTGATTAATTCTAACAAATATCAATCAATAAATCAAACATTTATCATTTATATGACAATGTTGACAGAAAATTTCATTATGAATTTTGCTAATTTTTTAGGTTTCATAACGGTATTATTGCTTATAATTTAAAAATGAATTCTTATCTTTTTGAAATATATATTGAAATGTTTATTATTGAAGTATGTTTGAAATTTTTCCCCAACAATACGGAGAGGTTAGAAGTACATATGGATACAGGTAAAAAGACACTGGTCTGACATGAAGAATCTGTAATGGAGATTCTCCCCTTGACAAAATAATAGTGAAATTAACACTTAGGCAACTCCATGGGAGATTATTATTTAAGATGAAATACTTGGAAGATTATCTCTATTCCTAAATCCTTTATGTAAGCATAAGATTAACTAAAGGAAGATCACTAACATATAGTTCTATTATTTGCTTAAATAGTAATACACAGTATTTTTTATATATGAAAATAACAACACCACTAAAGAAAATTTTTGCCAAGAAGAAAACTTCACTTTAGACATAAAATAATTTCATCTTAATAGCATGTTATAAATAGTTAAAAAAAAAATAAAACTAGGCATAAAGTACTAGGGAGAAAAATTAATTTCTAGAAAGAAACCTAAATAAGCAGTCAAATACTATATTGAAGGATTTGTTTTGGCAAATGCAACAAAGATCAGTTTATTAAGATAAAGGCATGTAAACTCATAGAATTCTATAACTTAATAAAGAAAATAAGAGAAGATTCCAAAGAGCAAAAGCAATGACTAGAACAAATCATCAAAATTGTTACTATTCATAAAGAATAACTGGTTTTACACTGATAAAAATCTGTGAACCAGATCTCAGGACACATGATTATTACCTGTCTGGGTAAAACCCCCAATGCACTAACACTTGCTTGTCTTTTTTCATCACTGGTCTCAACCATTCTTCTAAAAAGGAAAAAGAAAATACTTTAGTCAAGCTCATATAGTAAGTGATTAAAGTTAGATTTAATTTCTACTTATACTTCTGACTCATGAATAAGCCAAAAAAGGAAAAAAAAAAAGGTTAAAAAAATTTTCTCTTAATTGAACATTATTTACTATAGTAAGGCAAACTTTTTCAGCTTCCATATTCAGACCTACTTGATTCTAGGCTTATTATCCAGTACTCTTGACCAAAACTATAAAATACACCTCCCCTACTTACCTGCCTGTTTCTCTCTAGTTTCACCGAAATCAACACCATTGTTACTACTACTGCCTCATTTCCCATGTAGAACCTCTCCTCCCTTTTCCTTTGACTTGGTTATCACTATATATTCTTAAAGGTGGAAATCAAGTTTCATCCTTGCTGAAAGCTTTATCAACCTCACAGCAAATACTCTTTCTTGAGATTCATTTCCTTTGGTATCCTCCAAGACTTAATACTATTATATCAAAGCTTTTACCAATGCAATTTTTGTCTCATCTGTTATTTCAGCCCTCCCAACTAGAAGATAAGCAATTGTTTAAGGTACATATTTTAATGCCAAATTTCCTTACCAAAGATAGGTTCAAATTTATATAAGCAAATGACTCCTATTGATTTAAATCATAATTGAATTACATCTATATTTTAGCCCTTGTTATGATGCACTTCTCTGGTGGTCTAAATTTAGCTTCAAAAGGGCCTCCCCGGTGGCACAGCGGTTGAGCGCTGGGTTGCGAAGCTGCCCGTGGCCTCTGCGGCGCCGCTTCGATCCCCGGCTGCTCCCCGGCCACCAGAGGAGGGTCCTGCATGGCACGCAGACCTCTCCTGCTGCCCGCTGCTCCCCTCAGCAGTGTACTTCGGTCCTTCTGCCTGCTCTTCTCCCCGCTCTGGCTCTGGTGAATTCTCTCACCCTCCCGCGCTTCTGACTGTACCCAGTGCATGTATAAACAAACAAACAAACAAACAAATAAATAACATGGCTCTATAAAAAAAAAACTAAAAAAAATAAAAATAAAAAAATAAATTTAGCTTCAAAAACCTGCTGCTAGTAGTAAGAGAGAACCAATGCCCATTGAACCCAAGAGGCAACAAGAGGCAAACAACTAAGTTTGGCTTTACAATGTCAATTTCAACATAATTAAGGTGATGATGCCTACATGCTTATATTCTTTTTTAAGCATCACACTTCTCACCTTACCATCTTTTTTTTTTTTTTTTTAAAGATTTATTTATTTATACATACAAGAACTGGAGTACAGGTCAGAGATGGGGGGGAAGGAGGGGAGTGATAGGATTCACCAGAGAGAGAGAGTGGGGAATAGAACAGGCAGACTGACTGAAATACACTGCTAAGGGGAGCAGCGGGCGAGTCGGGAGAGGCCTGCTGCACTACATGGGTTGCTCCCTGGTCGGCCGGGGATCGAACTCGTGAACTCTTGCTGCAGAGGCTGCAGATTGCTTCATAGTGTGGTACTTAACCACTTGCGCCACCAGGGAGTCCCTCACCTTACCATCTTGAAAGAAAATGAAAATAGAAGAAATCAGGCCCTGTTCCTTAGCCTAATATCCCAAAATGGTCAAAGAAAAAGTAAGGGGAGGCTAATGGGCTTTCAGAAATCACTTTGTTTTTCAGACTACTAACTCTATCTTCAAATATTGTGCATCTTTAAGAGATAAAGAAAAAAGGCTAGCCATCCTATCAACAGCTGACTTTGAAAGAGATTGTGGCCTTTGAAAATTTTCCCAGTAGCAAAAACAACAAGTTATCCCAGAGATGATCAAAAGCTACACAGGAACGACAAAAAGCCACAACAATACTATGAAGAAAAATTAGTCCAGAATTAGAATATATAAATAGCTAGTAATAATTCAACAAGAAGGTATATAAACCAACTTTAAAAAATGGGAGAAGACTCTGAACAGACACTTCTCCAAAGAAAATATACAGATGACCTACAGCACATAATGCCTGACATTGTTAGCAGAGACATGCAAAATCAAAACCACAAAGAGATATTTTTTTAACACCCACAAGGATGACCAATTCAAAAAACAAAACCAGGGCTGCCCCTGGTGGCGCAGGCGGTTGAGCGCCGTGCTGTGAAGCTGCCCACAGTCTCTGTAGCGCCAGCTTGATCCCAGTCAGCCAGCAAGTGTTCCACATGGTGAGGCAGACCTCTCCTGTCTCGCCCGCTACTCCCTTAAGCAGTGTATTTCGTCAGTCTGCCTGTTCTGTTCCCCACTCTGTCTCTGGTGAATCCTCTCGCCCTCCCGTACATCTGGTCTGTACCCTGGTTTATGCATAAATCAATAAATAAATCTTAAAAAAAAAAAAAAAAACAACTTAAAAAACAAAACAAAACAAAGCCACAAATAAAAAGTATTGATGAATATGTTGAAAAATGGTATCTTCATAAATGATGGGCTCTTAAGCTGTATAACCCACTTTGGAGAACATGGTGGCAGCATCTCAAAATGTTAACAAAACATAATTACCAGTATGACTCAGCAATTCAATGCCTAAGTAATAAACACAAGTAAACTGGAAGCATTTGCCCACACAATAACTTGTATACAAATGATTATAATGGTACTGTTTATAAATAAACATCCCTCAAGTTTTGACAGGCTATACAAAAGAGGGTATAAATAAGTAACCATAAAATGGATTATTATTTGGCCATAAAAGGAATTATGTATTGTGACAGAATAGGAACCCCCCCAGACCTTGTTCTACTATAGACATCTCAGATTAACAATATAGTGTCCAGAAAACTTTTATGAGAACCCTAAAAACCAATTAAGAATTCACAGTACCAGGGCCTCCCCTGGTGGCGCAGTGGTTGAGCGCTGGGCTGCAAAGCTGCCTGCAGCATTTGCAGCACCGCTTTGATCCCTGGCCACCGGCGAGGGTCCCACATGGCGCGACAGATCTCTCCTGCCATGCCCGCTGCTCCCCTCAGCTGTGTATTTCATTATTCTGCCTGTTCTGTTCCCCGCTCTGGCTCTGGTGAATTGTCTCACCCTCCCGTGCTTCTGACTGTACCCAGTGCTTGTATAAATAAATAAATAAATGAATCTTAGAAAAAAAAATTCACAGTACCCAGACAAGTTCAAAGTCAACAACAGCTGCATTGAAACAATAAGAAAAGCCCTTTAACATCACCCATGAAACAAGTTTCTTCCAAGTCAGCAAGGCTAAGTGGGATAACAAGGAAAGCTCAGCTTATAGCTGCTTTCTTAGGCTGAAAAGAGAACCATGAGGGTGTGTCCAATTTGGAACTTTTCAGAGGCTGACTAAGGAACTTGTTTGTTTCACCTGACTCAGAGAACTGACGGAATTGGCATACTTTGGATGCCGGGTAACCATGGAGAACAAGAGCTCTGCAGCTTATAGCACCAGAGAACCATCAGTGCTACCAAGACTGATTCAGCTCTGTGCAATCAGGAAAAAGCACTCCAGATTCCAATTTCTCCTTTGATGAGGAAAATGTTGACTATAATATGCATCCAATGCTGGCTTTTAAGGGGAGTTGGCTAAAGAACAAGTTTCTGTCTCAACTGATCAGAAGGTGATGAGAAACCACATACTCTGGAAGCATGGGCACTGTAGAAATCAAAAGAAAGTTCAGTGTCTTGTTGCAACAACAGAGAACTTGTAGTAAAGCAGACAGACAGCAGAAAGAGCAAGACATTACAAGTTCCCTGAAAAGAGAAATGAGTAAACCTCCTTAATAGGGAAATTACATACACAAGCCCAGAGAAGATGTATCCCTGATATCCCTTTTGAGGGATATCAGAGTTCATTAATGAAAGTCGTATCATAAATACTAAGTAAGAGTGATGGCTATTTTTTCTCTTCAAATAAACAAAACAGCAGAAAATAAACTTTCTTTTTCAAAAGAATAAACAAAACAGGGCCTTCCTGGTGGCCTATGGGTTAAGTCTCAGCACCATCACCTTCATGGCCTGAGTTTGATCCCTGCCCAGGAAACTACCCCACATATGGGACAGAACTCTCCCATCTCGCCTGCTGCACCCTTACCAGTTGTATTTCAGTGTATCTGCCTGTTCCACTCCCCACTCTGTCTCTGATGAATACTTTCACCCCCAACACCTCTGGCCTACACCCCAGTTCTTTCATGCAAAAGAATAAAAATTAAAGAAAGAACAAAAAAGCAGAAAATAAACTCTTTCTTAAAAGAGGAAAGTAGCTGAATCAAAGGAACAAATGAATCTAGAAAACTAAAGAAACAAAGATCTATGAATTACCTGACAAATTCAAAATACGCGTTTTAAAGAGTAACATTGCGGGCCTCCCTGGTGGCGTTGTGGTTGAATGCTGGGCTGTGAAGCTGCCCGCAGCCTCTGCAGCACCAGTTCAATCCCTGGCCACCAGCGAGGGTCCCACATGGCGTACAGACCTCTCCTGCAGCGCCTACTGCTCCCCTCAGCAGTGTACTTCATCAGTCTACCTGTTCTGCTCCCAGCTCCGGCTCTGGTGAATTCTCTCACCCTCCCACGCTTCTGACTGTACCCAGTGCTTGTATAAATAAATAAATCTTAAAACACTTTTTTAGGAAAATAATATATGAACAAAATGAAAATATCAACAAAAAAACAGAAACTGTTAAAAAAAAAAAAAAAGCGCAAAACAGAAATTCTGGAGTTGAAGAATGTATCTGAACTGAAAAATTCACCAGCGGTTAAAACATCAAATGTAACCAATCAGAAGAAAGAATCAGCTAACTCAAAGGGTCACCATCTGAAACTGAGTCTGAAGAACAGAAAGGAGAAAAAAAAAAAAGAACACGGAAGAAAGCCTGAGAGACTTATCTATTCATCTGAATAATTTCAGTAAGATTTCATGTGTTTTCCCCTTCTAATTATTATCTCTAGGGGTTTTTTTTAAGTTTTATTTTCATCTAAGAGAACACACATTTTTTCTCTCACTAAGCAATTTAGAGCTTCCCAAAGGGTCTGATTAGTCTCTTTATATTATACATTCTGCAAATCTGTTTCCAGGCAAATTTTCCTAATATATCCACAAATGCACAGTTCTCTTCACCAAAATCATCAATACTGTCTGCCTGCTCGCTCTCCCTCATCCTACAAATAAATAAAGCTCTTTAAACTAGAACTCTTGTCCTCCATCTGCCCACCCTTACCTTCCACAATCTTGAGTCACTCGTGCATACTTTGCCATTTGCTTTTCCTCAAATTTCAGACATTTATTACCTCTATGTTTTTTGCTCATTTGGTAGCCCCCTCCTAGCATGTCCTACTCCAAATTGTATTAATATCTTAAGGCCCTTAATATCTTAATACCATCTACTATTTTAACTAACACTAATAGAATGTATACTGCATTTTGGGGGGGGGTGGGGTTTACAGCACAGTTTTTAATGTCTTGTGGTTGGTATTGTTATCATCTACACATTTACCCAGCACAGGGCATCACTGAAGGTCAACAGTTATCTGAGAGTCAGTTACTCTAAGGTAAATCCTACAGTGTGCAGAATCATGTTTATATTAAAAAAAAAAAAACCTTCTATATATTAAAAATCAAATTTAAATGTTGTTCTGAACTGCTCTTTTCTTTCTTTTTTCTTTTTTTAAATAGAGGCATGTTTTTATTTATTTATTTGTTTGTTCGTTTTGTTTATACATGCACTGGGTACAGTCAGAAGCGCGGGAGGGTGAGAGAATTCACCAGAGCCAGAGGGGGGAGCAGAGCAGGCAGAAGGACCGAAGTACACTGCTGAGGGGAGCAGCGGGCGGCAGGAGAGGTCTGCGCGCCATGTGGGACCCTCCTCCGGTGGCCGGGGAGCAGCCGGGGATCGAATTGGCGCTGCAGAGGCCGCGGGCAGCTTCGCAACCCAGCGCTCAACCGCTGCGCCACCGGGGAGGCCCCTGAACTGCTCTTTTCTAACAATTACTACTGACAAAGCAATTTAAATATGTAGTAAACCAGACTGTGTTAAATAAAGGAGGAAAAAAAACTAGGATGAATTACAAAAATTACTAAGTTGATAGTTCAAATTATTTATAAAGGGCAATTTTTTCGAAAAAGTTTCCAACCTGAAAGTTTTATACCAGCCTTCTTACAGAAATAGCAAGTAAGGGTCAGTATTCTAACATATACAGTTATCCACCACCTCCACCTAGTGGAAATTTGTTGTTATTATCTAAGAGGATAAAGAGTGAAAAACAGGAGAGGCAGAGAGAGGTTTCTCCTATTATAAAAGTACAATAACAGTTAAAATTATGACTTACAAATAAAACCAAACTTTCTGCTATAAACTCATTATAAAAAGATCTAACTATGATAGTTAAAAATAAAACTAGAGATAGGTGCAAGACTTCATGAAATTGGGTAAGGCAATGGTTTCTTAGATGTGACACCAAAGGAACAAGCAATCAAACAAAAACAAAAAACAAACCCCACAAAAGTAACCCTTGTATAATCACTTTTACCATCTGAAGGATTTTTACCCATGTCTCCCTTTTCATCCTCAACATTATTTGTTCTTTTTTTCTGCATTTATTTGCAGCTGGATTTTAAGAGCTTTATTAGTCTTTTCTAAAAACCATTTCTGCTACTGCTGAGTATCTTGCTTTTGTATATTTTCTGCTTCATTTTTGCTTTTTATTTCTTATTTTCATCTTAATTTACCGTTAATTTTCTAATTTCTGAAGAGAGATGTCTAGATCACTGATTTTTCCAGTATTCTTTCCTAACATGCACACTTAAATAAATTTCCCTCTGGGGATAGTTTCAACTGCATCCTATAAAATTTAATGTTCTTGTCCTTTATTACTTGTTTAATAATTATTCAGTTCCAAAGATTTTCTACTTTCATTCTAATTTCTTCCTTGACTCATACATTATTTAGCAACATATTCCCTAATTTCTAAGGATATGAGGAGGCATGGCCTGTTCGTTTTTGTTACTGATTTCTAGCCTAACCTCAATGGTGAGAAAAATAATCAGAGCAGGTTAATTAGCCATTAAAATCTGAAATAATTTGGTATTTTATATAGATGTCCTATAGATATTAAAGTGCTTATCAGGAGATTGATCTCTATAGGAGATCTAGTGATAGTTCTCTAAATTAGTTAATTGTTACCCAAATTCCCAAACTATGATAGAAAGGTTAAGCACAAATCAATTTGCATAGGTTTGATAAACTTTTGCCACTAATCAACTTCCAGGACAGCAGAATTGAAGATTAGAATCTGAACCTTAAAATTCTCCAAACTACTATACTGCTACGGAGTCATGTTTAACAGTCAGTAAGCCACCCTCCCCAGAGGATGTTCTTCTATCTTGCAATGTCTCTTAATTTTTAGTACAGAAGAGACATAGTAAAGAGGAACAAAGTTAATACATAAGGAGTATGCCTAGACAATACCCACATGATGGATACCAACAAAGAAAGAACAAAACATACCCCTTCCTCCCCAAAAGTCTACAATGATTAGAAACTTGGACATCACAGAATTAGTCTGCTTAGTCCAATTCAGGAAAAGAAAAAACAAAAAAGAAAATTATCAATTTAAATAATCTCTGAAATTTAATATTTGAAAGTCTTTTTCAAAAACCTGCTTTGTTATTTAAACCTCTGCAAATATAACTTAAAATCTAGTGATGTATGAGTTCATTAGTTCATAAACAAAACCCAACTTACCATCCTCTTGTGAGGAAGGATATGGATAAATGTGGTGGGAAGCTTTAGACTTTTCATCAGTAAATGTCCCCTGGAAAGCAAGTGAACAAATAATGTAAAAATAAAGCACGCGGCAAACAATATCAGATATCAGATGCAAATTGTCAAAGAACTATGAAATCATTATTTTAGTTATATTTTTAAGAGTATTATTTTAATAGCTTGCTACTTTTAGTCAAGGAAAGGAACAGTGACTAGTAAGAACAAAATTAATGTCTAGACACAGTTCATAGTGTTGTATAGAAAACCAATGTAAGTACCTGTTAGTTAATTTTCTATGTATCTCTTTCTAGGTAATCTTATCAATAATATGGGTACCTATAAGTAATTCTAAAAGGTACTCCAAAGTCATCACAAATTATCCTTACTATTTGAAGTGAATCAATGCAGTAATATGGGCATGAGCGATAATCTGGGGCAACATTCATACTGGACTGACATTTGACTCGGCTCTAGAATATATTTAAAGCTATTGTTGCTATAAGGATGTATTAGAATAGTGGATGATATAAATGGAATCATCAAATTCTAGCTAGGTTCCAGCTGTTTCCAACCAGAGGAAAATTCTAAATTTTAGGGCTATATAAAGAAGAATTACACATCAAGTAAAGCAAGGAATTCTCTCAATCACTAGAAGAAGCGTTTGAGCTCACTTTGCTCTCTGGAACCCAGAGAGGCCTGAGTTTGAAGCTCAGTTCTACCATTTACTAACTGCATAATATGGAACAAGTACCCAGGTTTTTATGCTTCGGTTGTCTGTGAAATGGAATGGATAACATGTATTTCATAAGAATGTTGTTAGGACTAATAGATGCAATGAGCTAAGAACAGCAACAGACACATTTTATTTTATTTTATTTTTTTTTTTTTATTTATAGAGGCATGTTTTATTTATTTATTTGTTTGTTTGTTTGTTTTGTTTATACATGCACTGGGTACAGTCAGAAGCACGGGAGGGTGAGAGAATTCACCAGAGCCAGAGCAGGGAGCAGAGCAGGCAGAAGGACCGAAGTACACTGCTGAGGGGAGCAGCGGGCGGCAGGAGAGGTCTGCGCACCATGTGGGACCCTCCTCCGGTGGCAGGGGAGCAGCCGGGGATCGAACCGGCGCCGCAGAGGCCGCGGGCAGCTTCGCAACCCAGCGCTCAACCGCTGCACCACCGGGGAGGCCCAACAGACACATTTTAAGTGCTCATTTTAAATGCCTGAGCAAGGCTGGTTATAGTATTCAATAAACAGCACTATTATTAGTTTATATGGTCTCTTCTCAGTTCTATAAAACCAGGAAGGCCTTTATATACCTCTGGAAGTTATCCTTAGAAAACAATCAATGAGTGAGTCCTATTTCCTATGAAATATGGCAGCTAATTTTCCAGAACATACTGGAGGGAAATAAATAAATTTTCTTTCTGCATGACTTGGTAGCAGTAAGAGTAAGTAATATCAGTTTGAAGGGAATAACCAGCAGGTTAATTTGCTCCATTTCTGCCTTATGAGAGTCCACCCGTAACTAAGCTTGAAAGAGAAAAGAAAGTTAAGTGATTTGTTCAAAGCAATACTGTTTGTAAGCAGAGGAATTAGATTCCAGACAATACAATTATAACATCTTTCTCTTTGGCAGGGATGGCTTTCATAAGAAAAAGAACATATACTAAATCTCTCATTGTAATAATCAGCATTAGAAACTTTTAGCTTTAAATGCTAAACATAATTCAACTAGCATTCTCTCCTGCAGCAGAAAAATATTTCATGTAGCTTCTTAAGTAACCCTAAGGATTGATAAAATTTTTTCACTCAAATAAACTTAAGTCAGAAAATTATCTTCTACCTGGATCTCCTCGGCTACTTCCCCATGACATGGGTTTGCTTGCAGTTTAGCCACATAAGGATACAAGACAACATATGGTAAATATCCAAGATCTTAGCCTAAGGTCTCTTTGCAGTTCTATAAAACCACTGCTGAGGGGAGAAGTGGGCGAGACAGGAGAGGTCTGCTTCACCATGTGAGGTTAAAGGACAGAAATGAGGATGTCAACTGTACCTCAATAATGCTACTGGAAAATGATACTTTAGGTTAAGAACTGGGAATGAAAAGGAAAACACTGTAAGAATGCAAGAGAGAAAACTTTTATTTATTTAGTGTAGATATATATATAAATCTAAAGAAACTATGAATAAAATTTGTAAAACGCTTACTACAGAATGGGTCTATTACCTGATGTCTTTTGATGATGTCTTTCAATTTGTTGGCCAACTTCAGATCAATGTCTGGAATGAGGTAGATATTAGGTCTGGTCAGACAATTGCTCTGAGGAAGAAAGAACAGATTTTTGGAATTCTCTTGGTTTTGAAATAATGTCATTTTATGTATTACCCTAATAGCAAAAGTTAGCACTCAAAGTCATATTGCCTAAAATAAGTTCTCTTTGGTACAGAATAGAACTCTTTCTCTTTTTTTTTAAGATTTATTTATTTATTTATTTATTTTTTTATAGAGGCCTGCTTTATTTATTTGTTTGCTGGTTTGTTTGTTTGTTTTGTTTATACATGCACTGGGTACAGTCAGAAGCGCGGGAGGGCGAGAGAATTCACCAGAGCCAGAGCGGGGAGCAGAGCAGGCAGAAGGACCGAAGCACACTGCTGAGGGGAGCAGCGGGCGGCAGGAGAGGTCTGCGCGCCATGTGGGACCCTCCTCTGGTGGCCGGGGAGCAGCCGGGGATCGAACCGGCGCCGCAGAGGCCGCGCGCAGCTTCGCAACCCAGAGCTCAACCGCTGCGCCACCGGGGAGGCTCTAAGATTTATTTTTATTTATCTATGTGTACAAGAACTGGTGTGTAGGCCAGAAGTACGGGGGGAGGGGCAGTGAGAGGATTCACCAGAGACACAGATAGAACATGCAGATTCACTGAAATACACTGCTGAGGGGAGCAGTGGGCAAGACAGGAGGGGTCTGCTGCACCATGTGGGTTAGCTCCCTGGCCGTGGATTGAACCCACGCCACAGTGTCTGACAATAGCTTGACAGTGCTGAGACTTAACCCTTTGCACCACCAGGGAGGCCCCCAGAATATAAGTCTTATTGCAATATAAAAACTAGGTGTTCACACCACTATCAACAATGGATAGATCAACGAGACAAAAAACAAGTAAGAACACTAAAGTTCTAAATAAGGATCTAGACCTCATGGGCTTAACAGACATCTACAGAACACTAAACCCAAAAAAATGTGAGTACACATTTTTCTCAAGTGCACACGGATCATTCTCCAGGATCAATCACACACTGGGACAGAAGACAAACATGGACAGATACACCAAGACTGAAATCTTACCAACCATCTTCTCTGACCATGAAGGCATCAAACTAGAAATAAAAAGAAGGCAAGGAACCCTCCTGCCTCATAGAGATTGAAACCCACACTACTGGAAGACCACTGTACTAACGAGGAGATCAAAGAAGAAATTAAAAAATACTTTGAGCTGAATGACAAGGATGACACCAATTTCCTAAATGTATGGGAAGCAGCAAAAGCAGTAATAAGAGGAAAATATATAGTAATACCAAGCTCACATCAAGAAATAAGAAAGAACTCAAAGAAACAACCTAATCTTACATCTCAAAGAACTAGAAAAAGAACAAAAAAACCCTAAAACCAGTAGAAGAAAGGAAACAATAAAAATCAAAGCAGAAATAAATGAAATCGAAACTAAAAAAAGAAAAAATCCAAAAGATCAATAAAACCAAAAGTTGGTTCTTCAAAAAAATAAACAAACAAACCCTTAGCAAGGCTCACAATGGAAAAACAGGAGAAAGCACAAATAAATAGGATCACAAATGAAAGAGGAGAAATCACAAGACACAGCAGAAATTAAAAGAATCAGAAACTACTATGAACAGTTTTATGCAAACAAAAACCAACTCAAAATGGATTAATGAACTAGACGTAAGACTTGAAACCATAAAATACATAGAAGAAAATACAGGCGAAACACTACATGATATACACCTCAGTAACATCTTTAAAGACTCATCACCCAAAGCAGTAATAGTGAAGGCAAAGATAAACAGCTGGGACTACATCAATTAAAGAGCTTTTGTACAGCAAAAGAGACAGTAACCAAAACAAATAGACACCCCACTGACTGGGAGAAAAATTTTGCACACAACACTAATGATAAAGGACTGGTCACAAAAATCTACAAAGAGCTGATGAGACTCACAAAAACAAAGTAAATAATCCAGTCAAAAATGGGCAGAAGAGCTAAAAAGAAATTTCTCCAAAGAGGAAATGCAAATGGCCAACAGGCATATGAAAAAATGCTCAACATCACTTGTAATTAGGGAAATGCAAATCAAAACTACAATGAGATACCATCTTACACCAGTGAGACCGGCACATATTAAACTAACTAGCAACAGCAAACGTTGGCAAGGATGTAGAGAAAAAGGAACTCTCCTGCACTGCTGGTGGGAATGCAAACTGGTCCAACAACTATGTAAAGCTGTGTGGAGATTCCTCAACCTGCTAAAAATGGAGCTGCCATATGATCCAGCAATTCCACTTCTGGGTATTTACTCAGAGGACACAGAAACATTAATTCCAAAGGGCACCTGCACTCCTATGTTTATAGCAGCACTATTTACAGTAGCTTTAAGATATGGAAACAACCCAAATGCCCAAAAATAGATGACTGGATCAAGAAGATGTGGTACATATACACAATGGAATATTACTCAGCAATCAAAATAGATAAACTCATGGAATTTGCAGCAACATGGATGGAGCTGGAAGGAATCATGCTCAGCGAAATAAGCCAGAAAGAAAAAGAAAAATATCAGACGGTCTCACTCATAGCAGGAATTTAGAAAACATAAATAAGGGACCAGGAAAAAACCTAATTATAATAAAGTAAAAATCAAAATCAACAAGCAACTATAAACCAGAGACACATGGGGGGTGGAGGGGAAGAGGAGGGAGTGGGATCAAAACAAGGGGGATGGGAATTGTATGGGGACTATAACCAAGATGAAAATGCATACATTGTGAAAAATGATGTAAAAATTGTATAAAATTGAATAAATAAATAAAACTAGGCGTTCAGCAGGCTATCCCCAGTGTCCTCGGCAGTACAGTATATTTAGACATAAAATGCTCAGAATCATAACCTAATGAAGTATCATCTTTTTCATTAAAATACTCTATTGACATATTAATCTTCCTAGTCAATTTTACCTGAACTTGCCCTTTTTTAAACTTTTATTTAAGTCTGATGTAGTGCTTTTTTTATTGAGGTAGGAAGGGAAGGGGTGTGTGCCCATTTTGAAGCTTCATGTGAATTAAAAAAAAAAGGCTGGATTAAAGCTTTTCCCCGTGTCTAAGCATACAAATAACCAGTGATTACAAGACGGATGTGAACTTCCCAAAACACCACCAAAAATCAACCAACAACCAAAAACAAAATAAAAACCAGTCATTTCTCTAGTTAACAATCCATAAAGCAAGTTTCAGGCATTAAGTTAACAATAATGCCTAGTTAAATTTTTGCCAAATGCCTCTCCACAGGAAGATTATCTCAATAATCATCAAGAATTATCTATCAATAAAAAATACTATGAAAGAAAATTAACTGCTCTCTCCTCCAGATTACAATCTAGTTTGAGAAACTTCTATACATACGCACAACCAAGAAATAAATCCAAAGAAAATGACTGTAAACAAGTGACTAACAGGATGAGGTAGCATTTATTTTAAATATGAAGGGGATTCAAATTATAGATTAGATAAAATATAAAATTAATAAAGACATCATGGATTATTTCACCAGAAGTTTAAAAGCAATTTTCTTTAAATTACAAGTTTTAGCCATACTTTACAGCTCTAATCTACCAAAATCCATAAAAATAATAAAACAATAGATTTCAGAAGATTGTCCTTATTTTGCCCTTTTTGAAACTTTAGCAGTCTATTAAAGAAAACATTAATAATCAGACTTTCTGAGTTACCTGCACTAATGTTTTTTCAATGTTCATAAACATCTCAACATTGCGATCCATTCGGGATGGATTCTGTAGATCAAACCTCCTCCTAAAAGAGAAGAAAATCATTCATAACCCACCTTAAAACAATCGAGAACTTGATTTTAGCATTTAGTGTAAGAAGTTCCAAAGATTTGGAAATTGAAATACTCTATAAAATGTATGACAGTATTCTTTCAATAGTGTTAGACAGTACAGCTGTCAAATAAAGCATTAAATTTCATGAAATTTAGCTTCTTTACAGTAAATATACCAATTTCTGAAATAGCCTGTTCTCCTTAAATTAAAGATTTTTTCACATCTTATAGAAAAGTAGTGTCACAGTCTAACAGCAGTACACTAAGTAAGGCCTGTCTACTTTATATATGCTTAAAAGTTACTTGTTTAAATGCAACAATTTTCTCTTTGTGTACTCTTGGACAAAAGGAAGTATATTGGGCATTTAATTTTAATACAATCATAAGATGTGTTTATCTTATGATTTACTTAAACAGATTAGATTTTGTCAAATAATATTTCTAACCAGCCACAAAATGATCAAAAGCAGAGGTTATTCCTTAACCTGAGGTTGTGTGGTACCTGTGAGTAATCCGAATCCAAAAGTACTACCAAAAGGTAACACAGCAATGATGTCCATAATAGAGTCTCAGTCTCAAGCCCCAGTCTTTCTTCCAAGAAAAGTCCCAGGGACAGGGCAAAGGCACAGAACTATGGAGATGCCTACAACTATGAAAAATGAGAGCTGTGCTCAATACTTTAATGGACAAATCTGACAAACTGATACATCATCCCTTTCCCTGGGATTACACACTGCGGGAAGACCCAGGCAAATTCTACAACTATTGCCTTAATGGCTAGTATGTATTAGTATAACAAATAAGGTACTAGGAATAGTAAAGGAAACAAGTATTCTAAGCTGCCAAGGTGCTTTACTGTAGGAGCTATATAAAAGTACACAAAGCATTTAATGATTGGACAGAGAAGAGAACAATCTTGAGGAAAGCATGTGACTGCGAAAGAAAACAGATGGCATCTACCTGCCATAACTGTCAACTCTTATATCACACTTGCCAAACAACAGCAGTTCTAGACAGGTCTAGGAACTGGTCAAATTTGGCACTACAATCAAACTCTTTGTACTTATTTTACTATGCTAACCCACACCTGCCCATGGTTAACTGTACTTACTGAAGTCATGCCCCCAGTGAAATCCTAATTTTGTGCCAGTATACACAAACACTAAGAATCTGACATTTTCAACACCCTAAAGTAGAAGGAAAAGCAGCAATAAATAATCTGAATCCACAGCCTTCTACAGCATACAGAGATAAAAGAAAGTATCCAGGAAGAGGCAGAGTGTGTGAAGGAAAATTACTATTTTTTTAAGAGACTTAATATATAAATTATAAATAATATCAACCTAGTATAATGTATAAATGTTGTTTGGATATTAAGCGAAACAAAACATAAAAACCACACATGACGTAATCAGAGAAACTTGAACCCTGAGTGGATATTTAATATACAAAAAATTATTGATAATTTCCTTAGTGGTGATTATGGTACTGTCAATATACTTTTCAAAGTCTGTTTCAGAAATAAATACACAGTGAAATATAAAGCTAATGAATGATGAATGATCCTAAGCGGCAGTTCATTCTATTCTCTCTGCTTTTATATAATAACCTAAAAATGGTTTGCTCAACAATGGCTTAATAACATGACAGAGTAAAAGCTTCCCTGAATCAGCAATACGTTACATGTAAGCAAAAGAAGTATTAAAAATACATGGATATTAAGAATACAAACGAAGAAATGAGGTAAATGTACTATAACCTTTTATTTATTGAAATACTTGGTCTGACTTATTTTGAAATTACCAAAAGTAATTGAAAAACTTTGATTTTCAAATATGGAAAGATACTCAAAGACTACCCATAAAGAAATGCAAATTAAAACAAACTATAAAACCTTTTGAATCTGGGCCTCCCTGGTAGTGCCAGGGGTTAAGACGTAACCTATGAAGCTAACCGCAGCCTCTGCAGCACAAGTTCGATCCCCCCGGTCAGCCAGGAAGCAACCCACATGGTGTAGCAGACCTCTCCTGACATGCCTGCTGCTCCCCTCAGCAGTGTACTTTGGTCAATCTGCCTGTTCTGTTCCCCACTGTCTCTGGTGAATCTTCTCACCCCCCGCATCTTTAAAAAAATATATTAATGAGAAAATAAATTTGTACAAATTTTGTTGGAAGATTATTTGACAAGTCTTTTTTTGTTTTGTTTTGTTTTTGTGGGACCCTCGCCGGCAGCCAGGGAACAAACTGGCGCTGCAGAGGCTGTGGGCAGCCTTGCAGCCCAGCGCTCAACCACTGCGCCACCAGGGGAGGCCGAAGTCTTTGTATTTTATTTGTATTATGTTCTGATGATTTCAACTAAAGTGTCTTAATTCCCTATGATCTTTTCTGAAAATTCAGAGTGAAGTTAACTGAGCAAGCCTCATAGGATGGTTCTAGAAAAGGAAAGAAGAGATAGTCTTACCCTATACTACCAAAGTCCTAGAGAGAAAGACAACAAATAAACACATTTTCATTCTTGTTGACTTTTAAAACCTTTGGTCTTTTCTACTGTAAATGAGCTCATTTACCAATAAATCTTCTGCTTGGAATTCCTCTGGCAATTTGCTGGCCAGTTCCTGACAGCAGTCTTTCAATCTAAGGCAATACTTATACTCTGTCAAAAAGACCTCCATCAGACATAATACTCCAAATTTGCCACCTCTTTTTTTTTTTTTTTAAAGATAATGAGTTTTTTTTTTAAATTTATTTATTTATACAAGCACTGGGATACAGTCAGAAGCGCGGGAGGGTGAGAGAATCCACCAGAGAGCAGTGGGCGGCAAGAGAGGTCTGCAGGCCATGTGGGACCCTTGCCTGGCAGCCGGGGATTGAACCGGCGCTGCAGAGGCTGACATTTGTTGCATACAAACGCAGTCCTTTTTGCTAATAGTGTACATTTGTAAATCAGAGTTGTAATAATCTTTTTTTTTAAAGATTTATTTATTTATTTATACAAGCACTGGGTGCAGTCAGAAGCGTGGGAGGGTGAGAGAATTCACCAGAGCCAGAGTGGGGAACAGAACAGGCAGAATGACGAAGAAACACACTGCTGAGGGGAGCAGCGGTCCAGTCATAAATATTCCAGTAAATACCAGGTGTTTCCACTCTACTTCATATACATGGTAGTCCAGCTTGCTATCAATGGAAGCTAAAAGAGAGCAGAAAGTAAATAAAACATACAGAACCAAAAAGACAAGAGGAGAAGAATTTGACCATAGAGACGAAACTGGTGAAATGTGAAGTTATGACTATGAGGTTCAAATGGAGACCACAAACAAGGTTCAGAGGAGTATGCTGGGATGGAGCAAATCAGAGGCACTCTCAAGTAACAGGTCACCATTCATATGTCCAAATGTGTGGGTGGTTACTAAAATATTCACTGTCAGAGTATAAGTGATCAATTCCTTACAAGTGTGTAACAAGTAAGATGAGGAAAGGTGGACTGCAATTGGATGTATCATATCTGAAAGAGGAGGAGTCTGAGTACAATCTGAGTAAGAAGATATAAATAAAATTTTACTCCTCACTCAGTTTAGCCTCTATCCCTATTCTTTATTTCTTTTTTTTTTAGGTCCATTTTTATTTATTTATTTATTTATTTATTTATTTATTTATAAAGGTTTATTTTACTTATTTATACAAGCACTGGGTACAGTCGGAAGTGTGGGAGGGTGAGAGAATTCACCAGAGCCAGAGCGGGGAACAGAACAGGCAGGCGGACAAAATACAGTGCTGAGGGGAGCAGTGGGCGCAGCAAGAGAGGTGTGCATGCCATGTGGGACCCTTGCCAGTGGCCAGGGATCGAATCGGTGCTGCAGAGGCTGCGGGCAGCTTTGCAGCCCAACACTCAACCACTGTGCCACCAGGGGAGGCCTGGTTCATTTTTAATTAATTTTTTTAAAGATTTATTTATTTATACATACAAGAACTAGGTACAGGCCAGAGGTGAGGGGGTGAGAGGACTCACCAGAGAAAGAGCGGGGAGCAGATCAGGCAGACGAATGGAAATACACTGCTGAGGGGAGCAGCAGGTGAGACAGGAGAGGTCTGCTGCGCCATGTGGGTAGCATCCTGGCCAGCCAGGGATTAAACTCATGCTGTAGAGGCTGCAATAGCTTCTCAGTGCTGTGCTTAACCCCTTGTGCCACTAGGAGGCCCCATGTTTAATTTAAAGAGACTGTTAGGGCCTCCCTGGTGGTATTGGGGGGAGTCATGTCTCAGCACTATGAAATTATCCGCAGCACTGCAGCACAAGTTCAATACCCAGCCAGGGAGCTAACCCACATGACACAGGAGACCTCTCCTGTCTCACCCACTGCTCCCCTCAGCAGTGTATTTTAGCCAGTCCGCCTGTTCTGCTCCTCACTCTGCCTGTGGTGAATCTTCTTACTCCCTCCCCCCACCTCTGGCCTATACCCCAGTTCTTGTATGTGTAAATAAATTTAAAAAAAAAAAAAAAAAAAAAAGCTTTTTTAGCTTTTCATTCCTCTAAATTCTTTTAGACAAAAATATTTCACTGTGCTGGGATGTACAAAGTAACTTCTATAACATGTGACCTAGAAAAAGTCACTCCACTTGAAGACTATGTCCTCATAAGTCTAGGTCAGGATGTAGGATACAAACTGAACAAGAAAACAAAGGAAAGAATCTCTAGATTGGGTATCCCTGGTGGTGCAGCGGATTGAGCGCAGTGCTGTGAACCTGTCCGCAGCCTCTGCAGTGCGGGTTCAATTCCCCTCCAGCCAGGGAGATTCCCACATGGCGCGGCAGACCTCTCCTGTCTCGCCCGCTGCTCCCCTCAGCAGTGTATTTCCATTCGTCTGCCTGATCTGCTCCCCGCTCTTTCTCTGGTGAGTCCTCTCACCAGAGGTACGCCTCTGGCCTGTACCCCAGTTCTTGTATAAAAATAAATAAATCTTAAAAAAAAAAAAAGAGAGAGAGAGAGAGCTCCACAAGCCACTCCTTCTCCACCTCCTTTAAAAAAAAAAAACAAAACAATTCCCTAGATTGGGGCATATAGTGGTAAGAGATGTAATATCAGAACTGGAAACAGATCTGAAAAACAGAAAGCTACCTCTGATAACAAACCCTCATGCTGATTTAATCAATTCACAAATATCTGTTTTTACCCACCCATATGTAAATATGTGTATTTGTGAGAATTATATTTACTATATTTAGGATAAATAAACCATTTACTTATATATTGGTGTAATCAGTGAAATACGCAAATTATCTGAGTATTTTCCTGGAAAAATAAGGCTATAAACTGCACAAGGACAATACAACTAAAACCATCAAACAACGTAAAGTCAATCTACCCCAGCACCCTACCCATTAAGTCTCACCCAAAGAAACTGATTTCCCTACTACCCATGAACTCAAAACATCATTAAACATTCACTAGTCTTAGCAGCTAAACTTCCCACACTGAAATGGAAATCCCACAGTTCAAGAAAGAAAAGGAAGAAATCACACCTCGAAAAGGAAGTGTGAAGAGAGAAGACAAACTGTAGGAACAGCAGCAAGGAATACTCAACCTAACTCCACGTAAGCAATAACTTGTACTTCCCTGAGTCAGCTTCCTTTTATTTATGTCCAAAAGGAGGGCAAACTGGATGA